TTCAGAGCACATTAACATGGTCTGTAAAATTGCCGGTCAGAAAATTGGTGTCCTTATGAGACTTAGAAACTTGATTCCGACAAATGCTAAACTTATGCTTTTTAAAACAGCAATATTGCCCCACCTTACACGTTGCCACCTTGTGTGACACTTTTGCCGAGCTAGTGATTCTCGTAAAATATGTAATTTGTGATTACACCGTATTATCATAAATTACTATTTTGCCGGCACGTATAAGAGGTCTGGGGAGGGTGTTAGTGCGCAGTGAGTCATGGGATTCGAGTTTGTAATTCGTGGTCGTTAGGAAGGTGAGGCATTCTACGGTCAGCCTTTACCGTGTTAGGTTGCTTTTCTCTCTTTTATTTTATTCGTGTGTTTATTGATGTTTATAGTTTAGGCACTAGCATACCCTAAATTCCTAAAACCCCAAGGGTTGCACCACTCCCTTGGTCGGGGATACACGTTCCCCGTGTTTTTTCCACCTGCTGGTTTTTTGGGGTTTTCATGTCCGGCTTTGGTGCTTCTGTTCTTTCGTTTATAGATATTACTTGATATTTGTACATATCTGCATATATGTTGAATAAACGGCACGGTGGCTTGGCTGGCCCACGCGCCCATATATGAACATTGTTGTCTTGTGTGTACCGGTTGAGTAGTGGAGGCAAAATCGAGCGGATGCAAGAAAGGGGCCTGCGTGCCGTTTTTAGGAACAATGTTAGCTACCCTGAACTTCTAAAAAGAGCAGAACTGCCAAGTTTACAGAACAGGAGACTAAAAGACATCTGTGCTTTAATATATAAGGCCAAGAACAATCTATGTCCCCCCTATATCAGTGACCTTTTTATTAAGCATAGATCCAAGTATAACTTAAGGCAGTGTGATTTCCCCGCTGCCAGGTACAACACCAGGGCCGTACCTAGGATTTTTTGTCTGCGAGGGCAAACTCGGTTTTCGTGAGATTTCGGACCAATATAGCTACAAGAAACAGCCCAGCAAAATCAGACACTATGTTAGAAAAAAAACATTTAGTTTTCCTGGCGGGGGCAACTGCCCCCTTCGCCCCCCCGCTATGTACGGCCCTGAACACGGTAACATATGGCAAGCACTCCCTTCGCCACTTGGGGCCCAATTTCTGGGGAAAATTATCCCCAGACTTGAGAGAAGTTACCACCTTAAAATGTTTCAAAAACAAAATACGTACATTAGATGTAGTTACACTAATGGATAATGGATGCAAGTGTTGTCATCTCTGCAATTCATAGACATATTTGTCGTACTGTAAATAATGTTAATGTCATTAATCGCTTATACATGTATGTCAATATTTTTTTACTTTAATTTAAATTTACTTATTTTGTGTCCCCTAATTAGCATAGGTTTTTAACCTAAGCTAGGAGGCTTCTTTAGACACCTTAATAAAGTTTCATCATCATCATCATCATCATCACAACAATGAGCGTCCTTTGCTCTCTTTTTCGCGATGAACCAGCAAAAGCGCCCGCAATCCGTGGGATACAGGAGAATGCCACCCACTGAATTCACCAATCACAGATCGTGTGCTACATTGTAATTTGAGCTTATTTTCATAATTATTTTCGTACAAAATTTATTAGTCATGGGATTGTATATTCTGGTCGACTCATAGACGTTGAATAGAGGTTGAATTCTTCTTTAATAATACTTTAAAAGCCAAATTCTTCATTCTTCTATAAAGCAGTACAGCACACTGACATGGAACGAGAAACACAAGCCTCTCGGCCTTTCGTCTTCATTCTAAGTGTTGGCGCCATTCAAGTCTTGGGGATTGCTGCAATCGCAATGACAGCCGTGTGGATGGCAAAGTACCTTGGTGGGTTTGCATGGGACGGTTCAAGCCAGGAGTTTAACTATCATCCTTTACTAATGGTTACAAGTATGGTCTTCCTATTCAGCGAAGGTACGATCGAACTACTATTTTGGTAATGTACAATGGCGCTCATTATGCAACACCTGTTTTCAAACAACAAAATTTAACTTAGAACTAAAAATAATAAGGGCATTCGATTGATTTCTTAGTATTTTGTTTGACTCTTGATCCCAAAATGCTCTGTCATTGTAAAGTGCGATTCACAAAGCAAGGGAAAATGACTGAAACAAATTATAGTCTTTGACCAAATTTCAAAATCAAATTCGAAATATCCGATTTTTTTGTAACGACTGGGAGATACGGAAGGACCCAGAATATTTGATGAGTTTGTCGCCCTGGCTTGTCAAAATCGCCAATCAGTCGACATCCTGATAGAGCGCTATTTCTGCCCTCAGACGTTTGTGCTTACATGTTTAGGAAACCTTTACATATCTTAGGTAACTTCTCAGCTACTTGTAGTTTCCATTTTTCATCTGCTCTTCCCACAGGGATCCCAGAATCGCAACAGCCTACTCGAAGCCAAATTATAAGGATTTGTATGTGACTTTATCGTAAGATCGATAAAATGGCTACAGTGCGACCTGAAAAATTCAAAATACCCTCGGCAGGGATAGACAGGGGGAAAATCAATTGATACAAAACCAGATTCGCAGGGTTGCCTAGGGAACACTTTTGTTCATTTTACAAAGAAGTGGCAGGAAAATTACAGGTCCCTATCGAAGGGATTTTGAACATATGGCGTGGCTACTAAGCCAAGAGCAACGCCACCGGTAGTTCACTGCGAAGAAGAGAAGTTCAAATTTTTTTCCAATTTTTTAGCCACATTTCTTGTCCTCTTGAGGCCATGGCTTGATGTTTGGAACTAAATTGACATTTTCAAGGAAAAAAAATCTTCAGTCTATGCTCACGCATACTGAGTTCGAAATTAACCACTTGGAAAGTGATTTTAATCATCTAACCCCCAGGGTTTGCAAATTTTATTGATGAGCGGAGTCAGTGTGACTTCTGCTTCACAAATTTTGGAGTCATTTTGGAATATTTGGAGTCAAGTATCACAACGAAAAAAGCCATTTTCAGACTTTCTTGCACGTGGTCCTGGCATGTATACACTATTGTGAGGGATACACTGAGTAGCTGTGGCGGTCCGCTGACCTGGAAAGCTCAAATCCATGATGGCAGTCATCGAGTAAACTTTGATCTTAATTTACCCTCTTCCTATTTTGTCGTGCAGCATAATTCGTTAATTTCGATGATTTAATTAAGGTTTACAACGTTTGCAATTAACGTAAATTGTATTTGTTGCGAAAAAGGTAGGGACAAAACTGTGTTTGTTACCGAAAATTTCTGGAGTTCAAGCGGCTCCCTGTTTGTTACCGAAAATTTCTGGAGTCAAAGTGACTCCCTCCATAACCTCAGTGGAGTCATCTAACAATTTTGGCGTATTTGTAAACCCTGAACCCCCCTCCCCTCTGGAATTTCCTGAGCCTCTGACCCCCCCCCGGAATTTCCAATTCCCTCCGTGGTGGGGGTATGGATATTTTCTGGAACCACACAAAATCGGTTTTTGAGGTCGGAGTCTCAAAATGGCCTAATTTTTAACCTGAAAGTCACTAACATCAACTTCCCTTGCGTTCTCAAGCAAAGTTGCGTGGAGAAATTTGGACAATTCCCATCAGCAGAACAACTCTTTTTCTTTCACTAGAAGATACTTTCAGGGAAATAGTAAGACTCGTCAAACTGAAATAATTCAAAAACAAGGAATGGGTTTTCACGATAACAAAAACTTAAGGATGTCTCTTATTTTGACCGCAATATTAATTTTAACATGTGGTATAACTCCAAATTCTCTTCATCCTGTTTAAATCACACATTAGACATTGGGAATTGGCTTGGCTTCTTGAAGGTATAGCCTCTATATGAAAGCGTTGAAGTCTGACAAATGGTAGTGAAGTGGGACCAAAATAGCTTATTATTTTAATGGCTCCAAGTTTCCTTGTTTTGTAATGTAACAAAGCAAAATATCTTCTTGTTTCCTTATTCATAGTGAATTACCATTGTCAAGTCCTTTTATCTCTGTGAAAAGTAAATACCAGAACTCTAGCGCGATGGAGTTTTTCTTCCTCAAAACATGTCCATGAAAATGTATAAACCGATACTTGAGTTACTACTGACGGTGACTTTGTGACTGACATATTGAATGCACCGACTCTCTTCAAAATAATGTACGTTACGTCAATGGCACTCATGAAACAGATCGTAACACAGAGTTGCCAGCTAGTGGAGTTTGGTGTTTCAAAATGGCTAAAATTGTTAATTGACCCAAATTGACTTCTGTTCCTCACTCCTTGATTAGAAAAACAACTATGCAATGGGAAAACATACAAGAAGTAAGAAGAAGTAGCACTTAGGGTTCAAATATCTACTTTTGTGCATTTCAAAATTGGAAGTGTTTACACAATCACCATTGGCCTACCATAAAATTTCCCGAATTTCGATGCTGTCTTACAGAGATTTCCTTCAGGAAGCCAAGCCAATTCCCAATTGTGTTTTAGATGAATGTCTAAATATGTGATTTAACTAGGAGGAAGACAATTTGGAGTTATTCCACATGTTAAATTTTGCCGTCGAAAATAACTAATAAACTTAAGTTTTTGTTATCATGAAAACCTAGTCCTCATTTTAAGAATTATTTCAGGTATACCACATGTTAAATTTTGCCGTCAAAAATGACTAATAAACTTAAGTTTTTGTTATCGTGAAAACCTAGTCCTCATTTTAAGAATTATTTCGGTTTGACGAGTTTTGCTATTTCCCTAAATGTATCTTCTAGTGAAAGATATAGAGTTGTTATGTTGATGGGAATCCAAATTTCTCAGTGCGGCTTTGTTTGCGAATGCAACGAAAGTTGATGTTAGCGAATTTCAGGTTAAAAATTAGACCATTCTGAGACTCTGAAGCCTAAAACCAGTATTCTAATTTTTCTTGCAAATAAAAGGCCTTTGGTGGGAACAATTTACGTCACGTTTCTTACCTACCTACAACTATTTATGGACAAAAAACGAAAGAAATCTTCCAACTCTTGCCACGAAATCAAGATTAATTTGCTTGATTTTTCCTGACCATCGCTCTTATAAATCTTTAGTGTTGCATGACCTTGTTGGTCACTTTTTCAAACAAGTTGTTGTTTTCATTCTTATAGAAATAAAGCCTTGAGCATCTTTTAAACAATTGAGGCCTAGTAACCGCGCTAACTAGCAGGCGGCAAAGAATGGTAGAACACCATAGCACTAACACAGAGGCTATGGGTTCGAATCCCGTTGAAGTCCCGAAATAAATTTTCTGGTTTATTTGTAATTGCTTAAATTGCAATATTACCACTTCGACGATCATATCTTCATTTAAAATTTGTATTTCCGCAGTTCACATCATCTTCTCAAACAGCTTTCTTAATGCTTTAGAACATGCCAGAAACAAACCTCTGCAAGCAGGGTAATGCTAAGATTATAGTATTCAAAATTTGACTTGTTTGGGTTAAAAGTGACACAGCCCCCTTGACTTCTCTCTTCCCTTCTTCTTTCGAATTCTTTTAAATTCAAGGAGGGAAAAGAAATTGACTGAATATTACTCATTTGGTTACAGTTTGAAAGATGTCTCCCCTTGTACAGGTTAGGTGTCAGTTTTGTCTGTAACCCTTAAAACTGTTGAATTGGGATCTACTTCGATGGTTAGGGGCTATCTCAATAATTATTGAGCTAGCCCCTAACCATTGAAGTAGATCCCAATTCAACAGTTTTAAGGGTTACAGACAAAATTGTACACTGGGTAATAATCAGCCAGTCTCTGCTCCCCGACTAGTTCAGTTGGGAAAGCGCCAGTCTGCCGAGCAGGAGGTCGTGGGTTCAAACTTCATCCAGACCAACAACTAGGGTCTTTAAATTACTGGTAAGATCATGCTGGCTTTGGTTTAAGACCTTGTCTCAGTTCAGATGATCGCATCATTTGGGTGGTGACGTCGGCGTTAAGCCAGGGGCCTTGTCTCCTTGATCCTTCTTTCCTTAGTGAACCCTCACTACTGGATAAAAAGAGTAGGGAGGAGTTTCCCAGGTGGTGTGGTATACCTCTCACTCATCATTTATCATGGGCTGGGTGGGCAGTAAGCTTATAAATGAACTGATAGCAGCTGCTAGTGGCACCCTTGTATGCTGATATCCAAGCTTACTGTGAGGCCCTGCCAAGGGGAGGTCCCATGTCGCCCGTCTGAATTTTAAAACGTCTTGTGACGGTGTTTATAAATGCTTGTCGCTTATTGTCGGTTTTGCCGTCACTGTCACAATTTGGCCGAGGGAGGTTGTCTCTTGTCATGATTTCATTTTACGCGCTGTCGCTACTTTTTGGGCCATGTCGCTTGTCGGAATTTACCCTGGCAGGGCCTCAGTCTGCTGTTAACAAGGTGATCTATAAGGTAAAGAGGACACGTATGTTGTCCTCTCATCCACAACATTTCATTTCATCTCACTCATTTCATTCAATTAATCAAACCTCTCCTAGTCAGCAGTCTGTAATAGTTGTATTGTACTATTTCTAAATATATTGACATAATTTAGGATTTTCTTGATTTTTGATTTAGGGAAATTCATGAAAAAGAAAGAAAGAAAACTAATAAGTAATGTCATAATAATAAAACTTAATGGACAATCCCTCTGGAACTGTTTCTGTGTTCTTTGCTCCCGGTGTTTCTTCTTATTTTTAACTCATTGTATTTTTCAGCCATGATTGTTTACCGAGTCTTCCGGCATGAAAACAAGTTTGTTGTAAAATTGGTCCACTTTGGTCTGCAGCTGGTTGCCTTTTGTGTTGCTGTTGTTGGTTTGAAAGCAGCCTTTGATTATCACAACAGTAATAATATCAGCAACCTCTACAGTTTGCACAGTTGGTCTGGCTTGATTACCATTATTTTGTTTACCACCCAGGTGAGTTTCAGGAGGGTAATGATACACCATTGGTGCAATGAACTAGCATCCCATTCAGGAGGGGGAAGGGGTGGTAGCAGTACAGTAAAAACCAGTGAGTAATAACCGTCAATTTCAGAGCTAGCTTAAACAGGTTCTTACATAAATTGTAAGCACAAATTTAGGGGGGTTCTTAAATGTCGACTTATCTCATTTGTCCAAATGTACAGAATTTTTCATAGGTAATGGTTTTAGAAAGTAAGAGCCTGTTTCAAATTTTCAGCTTAACAGGTTCTTGTATAAAGGGGGCCTGACTGGCAAGTTTTAGCCTAACAGGTTCTTAAAAACCAGGTTCTTGCTCAAGGATTTTTACAGTATAAGAAATAATATGTGTAATATCTTGTAATAATTATTATAATTATTGGGAAAATGGTTATTAAGCGTGCTAAAATATGGTTGGCTATACCATTTGAAGTTTTGGCAAAACTGTCTTCATCTGGGATCACAAGAAGTAGAATATATTATAATTTGAAAGGAAAGTTTATAACTTTAATTTATTTAAACGTAAATTACTGAAACTACGTGTAACAAAGACAAACTGGTATATGTCATAGCTGTGTTTGACTACATGAACACATAAAGACAAACTTTTAATGCCAGTAGTGACGTCAGATCGACAACAGTTTTCCATAGTCTCTAATTTTATCAACCATAGAAATGACATCAAAATGTTCAAAACTCAAGTAGAAACATGAGCTGCGTGTGAGTGGTTTAACTGCAAAGTTTTTTTGACATTTCATTTATTTGTTAGAACATTAATTTTTCCATTGAAGTTTTTCTTTGAAAATTGCGCAGCATTAAGGAGAAAAACAAATTGCGCCACCATCAGGTCATTTCTATGGTCTCTACTCTTGTCAAACTTAGCTTTTGACAAATCAGTGTGTGAAAACTCACTCAGTTTATGGTAAAATGTTATATATTTCCATTTTACTCTTTACACAGCTTCTTTTTGGTTTTGTGAGTTTTCTGTTTCCTACACTGCCTGATGATCCCCGTGCAACATACCTGTCAGTGCATGTCTTTTTTGGTATATTTATTTTTGCACTTGCTATTGGAACCGTTCTCTTGGGAATCAATGAAAAACTTTTCTTCACCAAGTAAGTCTCCTTGTTCTTTGTTTTTACCGAACCTCTTGTTTAATCTACATAATTGTACAGGGGCTAAGCTAAATGTAGCCTGAGAAAACAGCCGTCATTTGGCGATGCTACCATTGGTTTCCCCACCAAATGACGTCTGAGAACCACGTGCAGAAATTCCATACTGATGATGCGTCATTACCCAGATCTGGTTAGTGCTTCTGATTGGTCGTGCCGCGTGGGAAATTTATTTCAGCCAATCAGAAGCACTACCCAGATCTGGGTAGAAACACATTATCAGTATGGAATTTCTGCGCTCATTTCTCAGACGTCATTTGGCGGAGAAAACAGTGATAGCTTAGGAGACCGTAGGGCTGCTTCTTGCGAATCATTTATGCGTACCTTAAGACCATCCAACCCTGTGTTTGGCCTTGCTATGAGTGGAAGGGTAACTACCGTTCACTCGTACTTGTTACGAAGCTGCCGGAACTATAATAACAAAATGTGTAAGACAAAAAGATTCTCAGAATTTGTATCTGTGAAATATTTAGATTTTTTGTCATAAGATAAATGTTTAATTATGTGTAATTTGCGCATGATCCTGTTATCCAGCTCTTCGCTGCAAGGGGTTCTGAATAAACAACTCTACTCTACTCTAAATGTCGGCTGTTTTCTCAGGCTACTCAGCTTAAATGCAGTGCTGGAAAGAACATAGTTTTAATAGTGGCCTTACATTCCACCAGTCTCCTCTGGCTCAGTGGCAGAGCATCTGGACTAGTAACCGCTAAGGTCATATTGCAGGTTCAACTCTTATTAGGGGTATACTCAATTTTTTTTCTTCTGAGCCACCTGTGTTACTGAATAAGAAAACATCTTTCTCAATTTTTTTTCCTACTTGATATAAGGACGTGTCCTTCCAAACATGTTTGTTATAAGACATTACAAATTGGTTGCTCTTTAATAAACATAAATACATGTAATTTGCATAGAAGCATAATTAAAATAATCAAAAACACATCAACCATATCCAACATTTGGAGTCAGATTGTGGAATCTAAGCTAGATTTGTAGTCCAACGAGTGCCGGACATGGAGGTGCCAAAGAATGTGATTCAAACTTGTAACCCTAGGACGGTCTTCTACTACTTCTGGCATTTTCTTCTCCAAGTTTACGCAATGATCCAGGAAATCTCTTCTGTTCACCAACTGTGAACATACTAAGTTCCTTACAGGCTTTGTACACTAGCACTTGCTCAATTGATCATTTAATGTACTCTGTATCATTTAATTGTCACGTTTTTTTGCTTGTATTTTTTGTTTGTTTTCACTTTTTTTGTGTGTACCAGTTGTTAGTTGTTTGCGTATGTCAGCATTTAATTAATTAGTGCTTTCGAATATGTTTATAGTTTTTTTTTTTTATTTAGTGTTTATCTTTAACTTTATAACATCAAAATTACCTGAGTGAGGTTACCTGCCAGGAAACATTAAATTAAGTTATAAGCATGTGACACCATTGCTTTTTCTTAGAGTATATGCCTCTCTGCCTACTCAAGCTCAGCTGGGGAATGTACTAGGTCTGACTGTTATTGTTCTTGCTGGAATTGTTGTGTTTGTGGTGACGAATGATGCATTCAAAAGGGTCGACACAGAAGAGGGTGAACGAGTATCCCTGATCAACAATGGCAAAGATTGAATCATCAAAATCAATTTAATTGAATAAGTTGACCATGTTTACTGATAATCTCACTATTAAGATTATCAATTTTAAAGTAAACGTGCCGTAAAATTCTGAAAATAAGCCCTGGTGCTTATATTTTTCAAAGGCCCTTTTTGAGGGGCTTATATTCTGAGGGTCTTAGCCATATAGTTGGAAGTAAATTTATTGTTTTTGCTTTGTTTTACTTTGTATTTGAGGGCAATTTTCCAAGTACAAGCCCCCGGGGGGCTTATATTTGGAGAGGCGATTTAACGGAGGGTTTTTTGCGTCACCGGTTTGGGGGGCTTATATTTGGAGGCGCTTATACGTGGAGGGGCTTATTTTCGGAATTTTACAGTATTTTCAGATGAAAAAGGTATAATCCAAACAACTTACCTGAGAAGTGGTCTGACTCTATATAATGATAAATTATGTAGTCTAGTTATGCTGGGGTAGATTATTATACTTTGTTAGTATTACATTATTTTTAGTTTCATTTAGTACATAGCATTATTAGTTAATATCATGAGAATCACTATTAATAATTAATATATGGTCATTCCGCATTTATTTTTTGAGGGCAAAAATTGGCACCTAAAGAACTTGTCAGAGATATGAAGTTTCTCTTTCCTGATAAATTATATTTTTGTCATAACATCTTTCATTAGTGTAAAAGTAGTCAAGTTATATTAGTTTGTTCAGGTTATGGAAAATAACCGTACAATATCTGAGAGCAAGCTCTCCATTTCTTGTGAGTTTTCAAGAGTGCTGCTCATGCATGACTCCTAGATTGACTTCCCCAAAGAAGAGCCTGCTCACAGACTAACAATAAATATTAAATTATGCTGAAACAACTATTTTACAAATGATTGTTGAGTTTCTAATTCTTAATTAGTGAATGTGGCTGATTATGATATGGAAAATTATGCAGATCAAGGACTGAAGATGTTAACGAACACCTTCCAATATAACTCTTCATATCGTGTAAAAGTTGAATTCAAGAACTATTTTTAATTATTAATTCAAAAAGGTTTTCAAGCTCAATTCCTTACAGTCCAGCAAGGTCAAGGGTACCCCCAAGATTCCATTTATGTATCGATTCTTTGAAAAATGAATCCCTTAGTTGTTGCCGCAACCAGTATCAAATAATATTCAATTTACTCTGTATTCAGTCAGATTGAAAAATCTTTGCATGCTTTGAAGACATTTATATCAAATTCAAGAAAACAGAGCTGGTAAAAATTCACGTCTATCTCACATGTGGATTAACTGATCGAATGTAGAGATGAATCTGAAATCTATACCAACGGTTTCAACTTAAATAATAAATTTATTAATGGAATCTTGGGTGGTACACGTGTCAATTAAGTTTTTCAGATATTAATCGAAAAATGTCCAAATGTGGTCAGCGCTAGGTAGTTATAAAGAATTAGCAGTTGGATTCAATCAGCTAATTCTTATTTAAATGTTGTCACAATATTTCTATTCTCATCAAAAATTATTTGTGACTATGATCTTTAATAGAAATCTTAAAGTAGCCTGTGTCTCATATTCTCTTTGGTTCATGCAGATAAGGGTCTGCTTCTTTGAGAAGCAAAGAAAATTAATAGGAGATGTCTGCACACAGGTCTTAACATATAAATTATGATGGTGAACGTACAAAATTCTATGGTTGGTAACATGTTTCCTTTAGTTAGGTCATGAGATAAAAATTTTGTTGAAGGACTTCATTTAAGGATTACCTACAAGGATAATATTGTATTTGCAGCTGAAAAACTTTTAGGAGGTTTCTCTCAGTCTCGTAACGTTTTGCTGATAGTCAAACTGATAAAACGTTCGATCTGTTGGACTTTTCTTTGTTTTGTTTGCTGGAGTTTATCTTTTCCGGACAAGCAGAATTCTTGGAAAGGGAGGAAGTAAATTAAAACTTGAGAGGTAGTCCTAGGTAGTTCATTTTTTTTAATAAAGGATAACCCACACCCATTGTCATACACCAAACCTTCGACTTTGTGCAATCCACAGTTCATCATAAATGTAGGTATTTTCAAATTGTTTTATTTATTTAAATTTAGTCACCATCAAATGTAAGAAATAAAAACATTAGGTAACAGGATCAAAACAAAGTAATGGGGTGGGGGAGGGGTGCTACATTACTTATGACTTTTAAAAGGGGGGCCTTAGTGGAGATGAGGGGAAGTTAAAAAGAGGCGGTACAGAACGTCTCTTACTGCCAGTGACTATGTTCTAGTCATTAGAAACTATCACCAGAGTGGCCTCCATCTTAAAGAGTTGCCGTATTTAGTCGAAAGAGCGGCTCAGCGCTAATCAAATTTCTGGACTATTTTTGGGTTGTTTTTTTTTTGCAGCACATATTTTAATTTTGTTAACACAGTGCTATGAATTTTGCTTTCTTTTTCTTTGCTTTCGTGTTGCTGAGGGATCAGAGCCGTGAAATTAGTTTGTTCAATAACTGTTGAGGCATAAATCAAGAGCTTTCCAAACCAATGCAGACATTGCTAGTCTTCGTAGTTTTGTTTTACAGGATTCAATCAACTTTCGATATTGGGGGCACCTCCTGCAGAACCATGATTTGATGTCTGGAAAAATTAAGGGAGTCGACTCTAACAGCCAATGTTTATTCGGAGTTAATTTTATTACTGACTCAGTATTGTGGGAAGGTGTCCACCAAAGATGAGTTGACTATATTGAAACTTAGCAGATTGCTTAAAATAAATATTACTAGTACATGTAGCTGTAGGAATTGTTAACCACTGAAAGGCTCACCTTTCGGTATTAATTATGATAGTGCCTTGTTATCCATCTTGCCTGAAGAAATAAAGGAGATTTGCTGCTCTCAGATTAACCTGTCAGGACCTGTGTGGCAGGTGTTAAAAGGGAGATGGAATAGCGGGGTAAAGGGAACCCCTCCTCGCTCGCGCGAATCCCCACTTCTTCCTCCTCCCTTGTTAACGCCTGTCACGCAGCTATACTCAGCTGAACTTTCCGGCCAGAACTTGCACTTATGCTTAGAGCATGCATTGTGTACTCTTAAAGATGAATAAAGGAAAAAATAGCACGAGGTGATTTAAGTTAAGTGTACGTGTGAATCATACCTGTGTGAGTAAAACTTAGTAAGGCTAAACACGGGGCTGATAGGGTTACATTGCAAGGGAGCTCGCCGGCAAATCATCCTTGATGTTGCACTCTTTTTTAATATATATAATAAGAACGTCCATTTTTCGTGGTGAGTCTGGACCATTCTAATTTTCTGGGCAGCTTCAGCCTGGAAATGTTCTTAGGAATGTTCTTACATTTCTAACGGAAATGTGATAACTTCTAAGCTACATACAGATCTGATGACAGGACGCCCGTTGTAGCATTCAGCGTGTAGCATCACAAAGTTCAAGTACATCTGATCTTGAATACTTCTTAAGCCTCTAGGTCACGCCAACCTAACTCTGAGCCTCATGTATATGTTCTTAGCATGTTCTTAGGGACCCGATCGTTTACTATGTCCCACGGGGGGAGGGAGGTACAAGTTTTTGAAAATGCACAGAATGTGAGGGGGGTCATACAGGACTGGCCTTCTATGTAAGAGTTGTCAAACTGTATTATGATTGAGGCAAATCCACGTTTCCTTCAAAAGAAGAACAAAAAAATACACCTTGGGTTAGCAATTAAATATTACCCGTGTAAAGCTCGGCCCAGGAACCTATCAGCTATTTATCCTACCATGAATGTAGCATGCATGTACGTACATACGCCTATGCATACAGCCGAAATCTGGAAAAAATATTGACATTTTTATCATTAAATCGGGATAAATATTTCGCATTATATTGGTGTTTTTGTGTTAGGATTTCCTTTATCTTTTTTCTGATTAAGTGGAGTGAAATGGATTCGAATGTGAAGATGTGAAGCCACAGACCTTAGTTGAGACTTTTGACCAAACCAACTCCAATTATGTCCCGGAGTATGTGTCATGGGCTCCCATAACTTTGTGGACTTATCCTGTATCAACATACACAGCTGAGCGGAGCTTCAGCGGTATGAAGAGACTGCAAACTCCTTTACGAAGGACTATGACAGATGAGAGAGCTCTCTTGCAAATCTGCATATGAGCATGAGGACGTAATTGATATTGATGGCATTATAACAGAGTTTGCCTGTCTGAAGGGTATACAGTTCGCCCTTTGTTTGTAACCTCCTTTATGGCGTCACTGTTTTACCCTTTTTTGCTGTAAACAGTCTGTACCTTACCGATAACACTAGAGATAGATGGGCAAAGTAAGCAACTAAGGGAAGGTTCATTTAATATGACAAGGGGGGGATGAAGATATTGAGGGGGGCTCCGAAAATTTTAGACACCCGAAGGGGGGCTCTGAAAAAAATGTTGCGCTAGGAGGGGGGGCTCCGAAAATTTGTATACTTGAAAACTAACACATGACATCATCATACAGATCGGATAGTTTTCAACTCAACAATTTAATGACCTGTGCAACTCAGCTATATCACGTGGTTTACAGATATAACAAATGTAGTCTCAGTAATTATTACACTCTTGTTCATCCCAAAAATGCTTTAGAAAATTGTATCACAACTGTATCTCAAGTTTGTCATAGTATAAACCATTGAAGACAATAACGGTAAATATATTTAATACAGTCTAGCGTTTTTTTTTCAGGGGAGCAAAGGAATTGAAGGAGGAGGGGGGGGGCTCTGAAATTTTTTCGACTACCAAGGAGGGGGCTCCTAAAATATTGAACCGCTAGCGAGGGGGGCTGCTAAAATTTCAAGCTTCGAGTTTCAATATCTTCATCCCCCTTGTCATATTAAATGAACTTTCCCTAATTACTGCATTTTCCTTCGTCTTTATTTACTGAGAATGTCCGGCGGAAAACGCAGGAGATGGCATTTCCGAGACCCTAAATTTCAAACTTTTCAGGGGAAGTATACCCCCAGGTGAGGCGCCTTCGTCGCGCTAACTTTTCTTCCCCTGCGTGCACCTTCAAAATCTCACGCTACGCTGCTCTGGCTGCTGACCCAAGGATGAAAGAAGAGACTTGGACTAGAAGGGGTTGTGGGGGGTGGGGTGTATTTTTTAAAGATTGTTATTGCCAGGGGGGTACAATTTCACGCATATGTAATTTTTTGGGGGGTAACGTTTTGATACACCACACTGTTCTGAAAAACCCCGCCCCCCCTCTGGCACGTAATAAACGATCGGTCCCTTAATGGTTTGGCAAATTTCAGGCTGAACGTTCTTATAAAAGGGTGTACAACACACGATCCACAGGAAATTGAAATGTTTGGCTGATAAATAGGAAAAAACAAGGAGATATTTATCGACTACAAGTAAGGTAAAAGAACGGCGGTAATTAATTTGTTTTAATTGAAAAATTATCGGGAAAAACGTTTTGATGACTCTAATAAGAGGCTGGAGGCAAGCAAGAGATCAGCTACACGAGTGGGTAAATTGCGCTGACCCACAACCCATAGACGGTAAATACAATGGAACACCCACTCTCCCTAGATTGAACTACAAATGGACTAACTATATTATTAAAATGGACTTTCCTAACGAAATATACACGTGTATATCATTGAAGATAAAAAAATTTTTTGTTTGTTATTGTTGACATCGTTATCCGCGATTCGTCAGTTGGGAGACAGCCAGCTTGTTATATTTCCGCTGGTTAAAATACGCACGCAATGCACACTGTTAAGAGGGATTACAGGGGGATTATGAGTACTGAGAACATGCTAAAACTTGTAAATGTCATAACAGTTGAATGTACTGCAGGCTATATTTATTGCACAGTGATCTTACGGCCCATCTGTTATTTTTTTCTCCTCTTATTTGTCGCTCAGAAGTGTTCACGTAATATATCAAACATGAGACGCAGTGATTCATCACCAGATGAAACACCGAGAAGAAAGTTGAAAATACGACGCGCAGCGGAGTATTTTTGACGAACTTCGAGGTGTTTCATCTGGTGATGAAACACTGTGTTGAATGTTTGATATTTCTTCTCAAACAAAATCATTTTTGAAGGAGAAATTAAGGATGCAAATACTGAGCAGTTTTTCATCCGATTTCCAAACACTCATTAAACATCAGGGGCACCCAACGAGGATATAATTCAAAACCACTTAACATAGCATTGTTGAACGTATTTTAGTATTCAAACGGTAGATATAGGCATATTTTTATCCCCTAAAAACTTTTCATCTGTTCGGATTTCCTAGCTGAAAGTCTAGTGATCCGAAAATTATAGGGATTAAAACTTACCTTCTCGAAAATTTTAGCCAGGAAAAGGCTCTCGAAAATTCTAGGTGGCCTTTTTTAGGGTCAAAATCCGTTAAAAATGAGTAATTATACCATTTTGTAGATGTTCGAAAATACTAGGAAAGGCAGGCAAGCAAGAAATTTTACAAGAAATGCTCCGAAAATTGTAGATCTCAAATCGTCTTCCGAACAGATATTTTCCCGAAAATTGCCGTTGGGTGCCCCTGAAACATTAATTTTCTTTGTATTTTCTTTATGAATTATTAATGAGTTTGAGAAAGTTTCTTACTAAATGTATCGAAAACACTTTTTAGCCTATTCAGAGTACTGTTAGATCTCTAGAAATACATTCTATAAAGCGGAGCTATAATATTTCACCTGTTGGCCGCATCTTAGGGCAACTCGAGTATTTTCGAAATTACAAGGGCTTCAGTATTATTTTCCCGAACATTTTAGATGCTATTTGAAGTTTTACGAAAGTCTGAGAATTTTTCTTATTCCTCTCTCCATCACACTTTCGAACCCTAAAATGTAAGGTTTTATTTTTCTACGAAAAAATCGACAAAAACTGAGTACAATCGCAAAAAATTAATCTTAAGAAAATCGTGGGGAATTTATCACTGAGATAAGCTTTGAGAATTGTGCATGAATGGTACGGTCACCAGGAAATTTTCACAGAAATTTTCCACAGAAGATTTAGGTAATTTTCGCTTCTCTAAACAGGTATTTCACAGAAAACAGTCGTTGGATGCTCCTATGTTTCATAATAGAAGTCATGTATTATACGGGGAACGGAACAGAAGAGAGCTAATATAATAAAGCTGATTTCCTTTCTCCAAATTTAAAACTGGGGGTTGAGGAATGAAATGAAAGACGATCATCGCATCGCAGTCAGTAAAGATATAACTTTTGCACTTGCAAAAAGAAAGCCAAAATGGATATACGGCACTTATCTCCACCAACTCGACGACCTGCCACAAGTTGGCTTGTTAGACGTCTTGTTAGGGACCGGTCATTATTTATCGCCTGGGGGGGGTCGGAGTATTTAGGGGGGGATCACATGGTTTTTTGAAGACCTTTAGGGGGGATCAGCCGTAATTGACAAGCATAATGGGGGGGATCAGACGAAAAAAAAAAGGAATTTTAGGTCGCGCCGGGACCCCGGGTGAGTGCATTTGTAAATACTTTGGTAGGATTTGCCGCTAGGACTCTAAACCCCCAACCATATATTCAAGACCACGTTCAGTTGTATTTTGTATTATATAAACTTTATTCTAGCCCAGACACAAAACCCAAACCCTTTTACAGACCCTCCATTTTGTAAAAAAAGTATCACTATCGTAGTCTAACATACACGTTGTTAATCAGGCACGATCTATTGAAATTAGAAAGGTAATCAAGATTTTGAGAATGGAATACTTACAATTGCTCAAAATTGTTTCATGACGTTTCAGTTTGTTTTATAGAGAATCGTAATCTAAAATCATAAACGTTCATTATTTTAATACGCGGCCGGATTTGGATGAACAGCCTGAGATTGGCACTTCCGCGACAATTCAGTTCGTATCTGACGAGCAAATATCTACCGTTGTTGTTCAAGGTCCATGAGACGCAAGTACCACTATTAAAGATATCACTTGCATATTCAAAAAGTTATTTGGCGGTGGCTGGGAAAGGGGGGGATCATGAAACTTTCCACTACCAATAAGGGGGATCTTTAAAAAACTAGATACTCTACGGGGGATCAGGTAAATGCTCCGATGTGACAACAAAAATACTCCGACCCCCAGGCGATAAATAATGACCGGTCCCTTAGCTCACCTGGTAGAGCTGCCCTGCACTGGTATCGCAGAGTTCGAACCCCGTACGAGCCTGAATGCTTTCTTTTCGCAACTGCAAAAAAAGCGGCCGTAAATGCGATGATTTTCTTTCCACTTAATAACAAAACCGTTAGTATATTATTATTTTGATCGGGAGTATTTTTCAGGAGTGGCTTATCATTAGCTTGGTAGACGCTGGATGTCTACCTCAAACGTACACATGTCTTCAAGCTCAAAAAGTGCATGACGGATATCCAGGTGAAAATGCAGTTTAGTTAGCCCACTTGACAGTTCGTTCAGGTCACCATTGCAGTCACGTCCGTCACTACAGGTGACAGGTCTTAAAAACGGATGGACATGCGCATTAAAACTCTGGGTTCTTCCCGCCATTCGATTTTCAAAATGGCGGACGACGAATGAAAATTCTACACGTCATTGTGACGGCTATTTGCGACATCTTGCTCGCCCAAGGCCTTCAAATTCTGCGTCACTGAACACGACGAAGACTGTTGTTTGGGTTTGAGGCGCGATGGCACAAATCGAAACGGTGCTGTGATTTCAATGAAGCAATCAACACAACGCCTTTAAAAACAATATTTCACCTTTTCAGAATTCAGTCACGGTAAAGTTTTGCCGTGATATAAGGTGGTGTCGGCGTCTATAAGGTTTTAAAGTGCATTTTCTTGTAGCTTATTCATTCTTGTACAAAATATCAAATATGACTTTTTTTTCGTTCTGATGAAAATTTTATACCGCTTCTTGTTCGTGGGCGTCGTTGACTTTGCATATGGATGAAATGAAGGTGCACTTCGTGAGTACAGAGACCCTACAGTAGTCCCCAGTCTGTTGACTTGGGATCTCGGAAAGTACAGACCCCAAATCAACTGCAAGAAAAATGCATGCGGGCAAAAATGTTTTATTGCGCGGTTGAAACGCGGTTTAATAATCAAAGTTTTCTGCCATGCAAGTCTTGTTCTGTTTATAAAGCGAATGACGATCGTATCTATTTTAAGTGCTTTTCATTACAGTTTTGGTTTTTGTGGCTGGCGTCTCGGCTATTGCTAACGGAATTGGGCTCGATCTTAGTTAAAAGGCGGACAATTAAAACAAATACCGCCCGTTTCCCCTAAGGAACACAAGAATATATTATTGAAAAAAATATTTTGCATAACAGAGGATAAACGTAATCTATCGAAAATTTATGCGATTAGTTTTATGAGCACCTGCTAGTTCCCATAAACTGGACAATTCCTACTAACGTAACAGAAAAATCATCCAAAACCAAATTCGTGCAAATTGTTTTTTTCTCGACTGGTATATAAACCGAAAAGAAAAGTAGCGGCTCCGAAACAAAACTAAAGGACAGTCGATTGTTGATTTAATATTTGGTACTCTAAAACGTCTGCAACCGCATAAAGAGCTGCCATGGATTTGCATCAGACATCGAACCCAAAACACTGTTTTGCATGGAAATATAATCATAATCCTCGCACGGGTCAATTGGATTATATTGGCCTAACAAAGTTTTCGGGCGTTTGTGTAATTCAGTGGTAATTTTGAACGAGGAATTAACATCCTCAAGACAAGTTTCTTAAACCAGACTGTTGACGAAGTGTTGAATGATGAGCATTTTTCACATTTAAATGTTGTCTTGTCAAAACAGTTAAATATTGATTGTGATCATAATCGTTAAACGCTGCGCACTGAGAGAAAAGGTTGCTACAGAAACCGTCGGCCTCGAGATGGCTGTGGTAAACTTTTTGCCGCTCCAACCTGTCATATGAAGTTTTTCTTGTTTTTACCGTACTGGTGGAGGGAGAAAAGGGCACGTGGTAGAGAGCATATAGTTTATTCATCAGCAGGCGAATATTTAACAGTAGTCATCGAGAATGAGACATGATCAGACCGGTTTTAAAACCATCTGCGAATCAGATGATTACTAATTTTAACATCGGAGTCCTTTGATCGACGAACATACGCCTATGTCGTCGACTGGCAGCCAGTACAACATTCTGTACTACTCGATGGCAGCGAGTAATTCTCTTCTAACAAGACTTTTGTCAAAGGAGTTATAAATTCAACAACTTCCTCGAGGAAATAATGATTACAACAGACATAAACACGAATACAAGCGAGGACACGATGGACGATGGATCCTACATTCAATATCTTCCTATTGAAGCAGCATTTCAAGCCGTTTCTTTAATAATTATTATGCTCGTGGCCATAGCCGCAAATACAATGAATATTATTGTGGTGTACAGAAATTCCAACATGCAGACGCCTCGTTATATGTTTATAATGAGTTTGGCTGTCGGCGATTTAGGAGTGACACTTCTTTCAATGCCCTTCTCTCTTGTGACATGTATATCTCGACGATGGATCATGAGCGACTCATTATGTCAACTCCATGGTTTCCTCGGCTCGTTTTTTTTCTGTGTGTCGATATTTACGCTTACAATAATGAGTATTGAGCAGTATTATTCTCTTGTCAAGCCTCTGTCACGTACAATAACAGTTCGTCGGGCGTGGTACATGATTGCCGCTGCATGGATCTTGTCTACCCTTCTGTCCGTAGGGCCTGAGGTGGGCTGGGGACATTTCGAGTACAACTCTAGCACGCTATCTTGCGGGGTGGCCTTTCCGCGATCGACTTTAGAGAAGATGTATCTCCTATTTCTTGTCTTGATAGCATTTGTAATCACGTTGCTAATTATGGCCTATGCTTATATCAGGATTTTATTGACAGTTCGGAAACACACAGACAGAATTGCAAGGTACACCAAGGGAGGGTTGGAGGTGATGAGGCTACAAAGACGAATAACCTACACGTTGCTACTTGTACTGCTCGTGTTTATCTTATGTTGGCTTCCATTTGTTTTCTTGATTGTTCTAGCCACACGAAACACAAGTGTCAAGGAATTGCCATACGGTCTCGGTGTTGCTGCCTACTGGTGTGGCTTTTTTAATTCTTCAGTGAACCCGATTATCTTTGTTATCAGAAACGATCGCTTCCGGGAAGGTTACCGTGAGATCCTTAGCGAGATCTGGTACGGACTGCAATGCAAACGACCGCCGAAAATACGAACACCGCAGATAAAAAACACGTGGTATTTGAACAAACGTTCAGGGAAAGAGGGAGAAACTCCAAAGGTCATGTTAAGAGCTTTTCCTTCTATTTCCCCTGTACCAGATGTAGAATTAATGTCCGATCATGGTGATCAAGACGAAAACGGAATTGAAGAACTTATTACAACATAAGTCTTACAAGAGATAAGAACTTATTTCCGGGTAAAGGGCTCCTACATCCGGTCCACCCCCGCTCCATTCTTATTGCAAACAGCGCGGGTAAATTCACAGTCTCCCTCGCAATCGTTCTGCGAGGGAGACTAGTAAATTCAAGGCAAGCAGAATTCGCGATAATTGCGAGAATTTCACTACTTTGGAGTGTGAAATTGGAAAATGTGAAAGGCTTAAAATTGCGCAGTGATGAAGTGAAGTTACTAAGAAATCGATCCACGAATAGGCTCCTCCCCAAAAATACCAAGGGGGGTTCTCGCCGTACCTACAACCCCGGTCAACCCCGGTTTTCTGGGTATGCACAATACAGGAGAGTACCGGTTCCCCCGTCCCCTTGCAGTGTTGTTAAGAAGCGCAGTTTGACAAAGCTTGGTCGATGTTCAACTTGTAAATGGGGAGGCGGGGAAATTGACCAATGGTCCCAAGTAGAACTCCCAACTCCCAACTATTTTTTCCTGGATTGTGGGTTGCTAAAATCTAAAACAGCCGCCATTAAAATCGTTGTTTTGGTACCCTATTTTTAAGTCGAATGATGACTCGACGATAGTGAATCTTTTAGAATTGGCCCCTCTTAGAAAAATGAAAATGAGAATTAATTGGAAGCGTGCCCAAAAAGTGGTAAGAAGAAGGATAACTCAGGTGAATTAAAACTGGCACTCACAAAAAGACAACAATATGACGACAAGTTTTCGACACAATCCTCAATTCAGACGCAGGCTTTGTGCAAAAACTGATTAAAGCCGTTACGTTTTTTACACTCGCTCGTTAATGCCGTGGAAAAAGTCTGCGCTGGGCTCACTAGTTAACAGGATATTCTTACTTTTTGTTAAAGTTGTTTCCGGCGCTGCCGAAGCTGGCATCTAAATGGATTAAACATTAAACATCTAAACTGATTAAAGCCGTTACGTTTTTTACACTTGCTCGTGCCGTGGAAAAACGTCTGCGCTGGGCTCACTAGTTAACAGGATATTCTTACTTTTTGTTAAAATTGTTTCCGGCGCTGCCGAAGCTGGCATCTAAATGGCTTCATCGCTACTTAGTCTTCTATTTTCGATATGTTTTTGCCAGTTTTAAACGACCTAAGCGAGATGATTAACATGCATGATAATCTTTGTTGAAGAAAGGAGATCTTAGTGAACGCAGGCCGGATCAGCGTTAAGTAGTCTTACAAGAGGATTATCACAACTGGATATAAAATTTTTAAGTGCGGAGCGATGTCAAAATTACGGGCGGAATTAAAAGAATATAAAAGTCTTTGAATTGTTAATTACCTACAGGAGAACGATGGCTTAATAAGGCACCACTAAGTTCTCTGAACGTAATGGTAAAATAAAAATACGTGGAAATGAGTGAGAACTTCAAGGTGTTGTGTTTGTAGTTGTTGAGAAAGCCAGGATGTCGATTCCTTGGTTGAGAACACCAGGAGCCCATCAAATGGAGCCTCCATCTCCATTAATTTCTTGAGTCAACCCTTTCCCGAGTAGATTTATAAATAGAACGGCTAGTTTCCCGCGAAAAGTGTCATATTTCCGTGAGTTTCATATGTCACCGTGAAAAAATAAAATTGGATGAAGTCGAACTCAGAAGCCCGTCTTTCGACCGTTTTCCTTCATTCTTTTACGTCCGTTTTTACAGTTTTACAGCCGCTGGGATCTGGGTATCATGAAATAAAAGTTAATGAATTACCCGACTGAGACTGAGGATGAAGCGATGGGACAAAGGCAGCGAACTGAGGATCACGGAAAGGTTATCTTTGCGAGTGTTTTTTTTTTTTGCCGTCATACATCCCACATTTAAGCATGCACCTTGAAAAGAATCGACGATTAAAAGTTCTGTGGACGATTTGAAACTTTTCGATGATCAGCGACGAAAAAGTGCCAGGATCATATGATTTTTGTCATCACCGAGGAGTGGATTTCGCCAGTTAAGCACCGCGTGCAAAAGCGATGACCTAAGTAGCAAGTAACGAGGAATGCTTCAGTTCCGAAATTTGAGAAATTGCAGTCTTCCTTTACAACTGACTTCTATCACCATGAGAGTTGCCTGATAAAACTAGCGCTTGAAAATTTGAACAGAAGACAACAGTTGCTCGACCGTGAAGTTAACTCAACCGTGATTTGCTAACGGAGGAATTTGTGACATCGCGCTTCAGTCCAAAGACCCACTTATCTCAAGAAAAACAAAATGGATTGTATCTGCGCCAAAAGAATTATGACTGACTAACAGGACAATTTTCAGCAGTTAATGTAGAAGCTTAGGCTCAATTCCTTCCTTCGAATTCGCATCTGTAGATCACTTTTTTGCGAGAAAACAATGGCTGGGCCCGGCGTTACAAAACATAGCAGGGAATCATCACACTAGCTGACGGACAAAACAACCACAAAGACTACAAGTATTTATTCAGATAAACGCATTTCGGAAGAAAAAAACCTTGAAAAACTAGAAATTTGATTAATATTGAATCATTTAGCCGAAATAAGAAGCTTGACGCTCAAAAAAATTCGCTAAAGAAAACGAATCCTGTCAGAACTACAGACTGCAGGTAGTAGTTAATCATTATGCATGTAACAGACCACCTTCCTGGCCTCTTAATGTTACACAAGCAACCAAAATTAAAAATTAGTCAGAGTTTAAAACTTTCCACAGTATAATCTACCCGCTAGAAAGAAAAAAAGGAAAATCTCTGAGGGATGAAAACGCTTAAGTCACGTTTCACTGGCTCATGAGTGTTTGGCCTGTCAACACCGAATTTCCTGCTGTTTGACTAGTTCGTGGTTGTGATTGGCTCTTCCCACCGTCGGCGCGCGAAGTCTCCCCTGGGAACCGTTCTAATTATAAATCTACTCGGGAAAGGGTTGACTCCAAGGGCTTGTATGGGAGATGGAGGCTCCATTTGATAGGCTCCTGGAACACCCAATCAGGAATCAGGGACAAAATTGGAGAAGGGTTGTTACCACAGGCAGACCACCCTCTGTTAGTGGGGGCTGTTGTTGATTGAAATCTGAGCAACGATCTTTTGTTATTACCGGGGCCCAGCCGAAGGCTGGCACCGGTCTTAAAATGCAGACCGTCCGTTTTTTCAACGTTACATTGTTAGGGATATATCGCTGACTGAGATATATCGCTGGCTCATTGAAATCTTATCCGCCATTTTGAAAAGAAGAGGCATGGAGGACAGTCAAGAGAAAGATTATAGCTTTTTTGGGGAACGACACGTTCCCCCAACCCAACTAGTTTATGAGCGAAAATTTAAGAGTGAATATTTGGAGAGACAAATTTAGGAGCGATCACTTCTGAGACTGAACCTTCCATCGTGAAACTTATCGAGAAATTGAGTGAACCTTCCATCGTGAAATTTATCGAGAATCAAAGCGAACACTTATCAAAATTTGTCTTCAAAAAGATTTCAATGATTGACATACCGAAGACTTCAAAGCTCCATCGCTATGTTAATAAGGTGAGAAAACTTTATCATGCACGATATAAATGTAATAACAAACGCGATCTAAAGATAATTAACTTAAATAAAATGGCTATACCCAAGAAAGCTTATTTGTTGTCTTTCTTTAGCAGGCATTATCACAGGATAATGAAACTAAAAATAATGTAGAGCACGTCGATCTTTATCATTGTTTTCTTGCAATTGTGTGAGTCATATGACCAATTATGTGAATTTCAAACTAAGTAAAGATGTTGAGAAGAATCCAGGACCTACTCAATACAACACTGATCATCATGAAGTAATAATTAGACCTTCTATGCAAAATCACAGCTCAACATTGGTTGAGGTCACACTAGAGACTTTACTATGGTAAAAAAGGGCTTTACTATGGTAAGTCTCGCAACGTCTTCTTTACCGTAGTAAACCTGACAGGTCCACTTAAAAAGGCATTTGAAACTTTCCAGGCGTTTTTTCTCGCGTGATCGGTAACGTGAGAGTGAAAAGTAAAACAAATGATGACCTGCTATGAGAGCTGACTAAATTGAAATTACTGAACTGTAACTTCCTGAGCGTGACCCTCACAAGTGTACAAAGATGCTTCAATGTGAGAGAGTATTGTTTTCTGTTGTGAGCATTTTGCTTTTTAATTCTGCTGCTCAGACGAGCAAGAAGAATGCGCTCCCTTATTACCTACCTTGGTTTCGAATACGAAGTTAGTGAAGATGTTTTAGTGACAGGTTTATTGATTACTCATCGAAGACGTATTCTTAGAGATAGAGCGGCATTGCGAAGGCAAGCGTGGGTTTAACCTCGACCCCAGGAATGGTTTGAAGAAATGTACAGAAACAGAAACCTTCAAGCACTGTGGAAAAAGCAATCACCGATGTTCTAAAGCTATTCTGTTATGTGACCCTTTTTGAAACTACTTTCCTCAAAAATCATGACAAACTGTCAACAAAACAAACAAAGTTTAGATAGACTAGAGATATACCCACCTATTTTTTTTGGTAACCAGATGGTTATCGGTGATGGGTCATCTTTGTTCTTTCCGCGGTAGTCATGGAAATTAACCAGGGTAGAGTTTACCATTGTAAACTGAAAAATGCCGGTCACACTTACGGCGCCGTTTACTATGGTAAACTTGAGTTTACTATAGTAAACTTTCTCTAGTGTGACCTCAACCAATGCAGTTGAACTCTCCTATTTCCTCTGAGAATTTGATGCAGTCAAGATTAGGTGCACTTTGTTTACAATCAATAGATGTTGGCGGTGCAGGTGATTGTTTCTTTAGATCTGTATCACATCAATTATATGGCAAAAGCAACCATCACATGCATATACGTACTGCTGGGGTTCAATTTATGAGAGACAATCCTGAGAGATTTATTGAGAGCAATACCGAAAATTCATGGATAAGATATCTGAATAATATGTGTATTCAAGGTACATGGGCTGATGCACTTATCATTCAAGCAGTTGCAGATATACTACTGTTTACCCAGTTCAGGAAAGAAATACTTTCTCTACAATAATTACTATAGGCCATATTGATGAATGCCACTATGTATCAACCACTGCCTTACAATCAAGTGCCTCCATTTCAATGTGCAATGAATTAACAAATGATACTCAGTCATCAATAAATAAGCATTTTATTATGTCTGTATATAACACTGGATGACATTTTTTACAGTGCAATACAACAATCCATGACCACAAAGATCTATTTCAAAAATGTCTTATGTCTGTTATCATTTCAAATTCACAGTGTTTTCGCAAAAAATAGATAAATGTGATTAATAAATCTCAATGATAAACCTGATGATAACGTACTTGAGAAAATGTGAAATTGTGATAATTCTGTAACAAACTTCTTTGCAAACTTTGTCATTACCATTCAACCCAAAACTGTCAGTGATTTTTGCTTTTTCACTCAAACTTAAAAACAAATGAAAACCTTATACAGATCACACTTATTGACATCACAGTGTTACTAAAAACACTACTATAACACAGACCGTTAGCTGTAATAACACTGAACAAACTTACAACAACATCCTCCTTTCTCATGCATTTTGTTGCTTTTCTTCTGCATGAGTTAATTCAGACTAAGTATTAGCCTCCACAGAGGAGGGGGGAGGGGTGCGAGAGGTAAACTATATCTATGCAATCCCGTATCCCACTGGGCCCCGGTAAGTTCCACGTAGTGGTTCTAGTTTATAGAAGAAATACATATGAACAATACGGTGGCTATAATTTGTTCCAAAATGCAGTATTTAAAGCAAATTTTTCAATAAAAGTTTGAAGAAAATATTAACTGAGTCATGTGTCATGTTCTTTTCGCGGTCCCGTGCTGTTTTAAGCGCTATTTTGCGAGTTCTCGCCGCCGAGGTCAAATATTCATCTCGCAAAATAGCGGTTAAAACAGCACGGGACCGCGAAAAAAACATGACACATGACTCAGTTAACATTTTCTTCAAACTTTTATTGAAAAATTTGCTTTAAATTCTGCATTTTGGAACAAATTATAGCCACCGTATTGTTCATATGTATTTCTTCTATAAATAACAAAAGATCGTTGCTCTCCGCCTGTGGTTGTTACCAATTAGAAACCAAGAATATACGTGACAAGTGGCATGGTGGCTACCCCCTACCCGCTCTGGTGGCTACACTGGACCCGGGGGGTACGCAGCAAAGTTTTATGCGGGGAAGCTCTGCCCCGAGTTACCCTTTTTAAAAAACCCTTTTCAACAGGATACCCCTCTCCATTGCCTTTCGTATACCTTCTATGGACAAATGTTGCACCTTTCACATACCTACATCCCTTTGAATTGCTGTAAACGCCACCAGTTTGACGTGTTGTCTCATCATTTGTGATATCCTGCAGGTGGCGGATGCTTTATAAGCAACAACGACGGCGGCCGCGGCAACAAGAACGTCAAAATAGCAACGGGCCGGTATAATGCTAGCCTCCCACGCAGGCGTTTTTAGGGAAGCTCGTTTTTTATCCCTCTTGTGGGGAGGGATGAAAAACGAGCTCCCCTAAAAACGCCTGCGTGGGAGGCTAGTATAACACACCAAATCACAACTCTTCCCGAGCGTCACACATTTTGATACATTTCTTTGCTGTCACTGCTGGACCACAACGGGAAATTTTCCTAATTTCAAGGTTTATCAAGAACAGCGGGGTGAAACATAAGGCGACGATTTTTTTCTTTCTGAGTTTGGTTACCTTCTATAAGAATCCAACTCCAGGAAAATTTCCTACATTTGACACTATTAACGGGAGGTTCAAGGTTTATCGAGAACCCGGGGGGGGGTACTCCCATACATTACCTATATGGGTATGTGCCGCCCAACGGGGTCGTGATTTTGAAGCTCCTGATTTAGAACGGGGTATCCATTTCAGAGGCGTTTTCTAGAACGGGGTATAAAAAATTGTGGATCAGGGCTTTATCTTCTGCCTAAAATTGTTGCTGATTATGAAGAAGCATTTATTTGATGTAAGTCGAACAAATAAAGAAATATCTTTTCACAAAACAGGGCTATTTCAATATACAAACATCCTAGAATGGAGTATAAAAAATTGGCCCATTTCTAGAACGGGGTATCAGTTTTAGGGCGAATTCTAGAACGGGGTATCAATTTTAGGGGAAATTGAAATTGTGTTTAGAACGGGGTGCCAATTTGGAGTCCCGGGCGGCACATACCCACCCAAAAAATACCTAAGTGCCCCCGGATCGAGAACGGTGGGGTGAAACATAAGGCGACGATTTTCTTTTTGTCTTTCTGAGCTTGTTGCGTTCCATAAGAATCCAAGAACACAAAAACACTATCCTAAGGGTGAATTCCCCCATAAACCCCCTAATACGTACTCACGGGATAAGCTTACAAATACGCTAAAGATCAGAAAAAATAGGCCATTATATTTTTTAAACAATCAACATCATTTATGCGTAAAAATACAACGATACAAGCGACAATGCCAATGATAGATAAATTCTCTGTCTTTTGGTAAAAATAATTTGATAAAAATCATTTCATACCCTATTTCTATAAATAGTGATGAATCCATAAAACTTCTGCGTATAAACCTGTATGATTCTAATCATTAAGGACTAACTGAAACTTGAATCTCAGGTCCTCTTAGAGAGAATACTATTATAGGTAATTGATACTGATAAAGATTAATGCAAATATTTAATAAACTACACAATACTCCTTTTTATTTAAATAAATAAATAGCATTTCAAATAAAATGGCAGAAATCAAGTTCCTACATCGCCTTTGAAAAATTTAATTGCATGCCTCCGAGACGTCTATTTAGCTAGATACTCCGTGACAATTAATATCGTTTATAGATTTGATTAGGCCATGACCATCAGGTGCAATTTTTTTACCCAGCGCCCAACAGATTCATTTTTTTTAGAAAATGGAATCTTTAACAAGGAAGATCAGAATTTGCCTTAAATAAGGGAAAACAATTCTTTCTTACTTGAAAACAAACGAAGTTTAACTCTGACTCTTTTTTAAAAATAAACTAAGTTATTTACTTTTAATTTTTACCATTTATGAAAGGCTACGCACAAACGCCTTTCTTCACATGAGCTGAACTTAATTCAGAGTAAGTTGAGGTAGACCTAAATTAAATAAAAAAGGCCTGTTTGGACGTAATACAGCAGTTAATTCAACTTGCAAAATTCAAAATGCCACAGAACCGGTCTTTTTTACTCAGCCACTTTTCAAGACAAATTGAAATTTTGTTTGGCTATTGTTTTTTTAGTTTGGCTGATTGTCTTTAGATCGACCGTAAAAAAACAGCTGCACCTAAAAAGGACCAACGCTGCACTTCACATGAGCTGAACTGTATCAACTAAGTTAATTTAACATTATTTATTTATTTATAATTTATCAAAGGCAGGAAGGGCTTTCCCACCATCTGCAGCTTTTATTTGTTTCGTCGCATTTCAAGTTAGTTTACTCAGGCTTGAACCGATCACAGGTTTTACTGTGGTGCCTCCTTTTTTCTTCGCTATGTTTTCTTTTAAGTTCCCTGATATTATGAAGAGTCCGATATAACAGCTTTGAACAGTTCTGGTCCTGCTTTCAGAACGTCGCCACAAATCTCGTCACATCAACACCAATGTAGTCGCGTTCACACTTACTTTACGATGTTGAATTAGTTAGGGGATGCTGTGGGGTTAGTTTAGGAATTGGGTTGATGACGTTGGCAAATGACTGATAGGTGCCAACGAACAACACTAAAAATCCAGTCAACATTAGGCCCCAGGCCGCCACTTGTTTCAGGTCAGGCCGCTCCGGGTGAATGCGCACGCGTAGATAAAAAGCTGGTGGTAGGATGTAAATCATGATGGTGCTACCAATGGCGCCAACAAATCCCCACACCATAGCAACCTGCGATAAATATTAAAGGAACAAAAGCTTATAGCATTTGTATTACATCGAGTGTCAGTCAAAAGGCAGCACAAAGGAAAGGGGGGAAGGGGGGGTGGAAGGCATAAAAAGAGGGAGGGGGTGGGGTTCACGGGAATTACAAAACGCAAAAGCAGAAGCTCAAACCCGGAGCGAGCAACTTCCATGTACACGTGTTCTTGTCAAGGCGTGTTCATCGAAACATGGTTAAGTTTAACCCACGATTAAGCCAAATTTAAGCAAGGTTTTCTCGTCTAAGAACATGTAGCTCGAGTTTACAAAATACAGTTGTGCCTTTACTTCGAAAAAAAGAAATGATAACACAAAATATTCTCTACGCAATGCATAGGAAGGTAAATACAAAAAGTGGAACAAAATTTTAATCTGGATAAGCGCTAAACAGCCTTTCACGAACCGGGCTCAGTACAGTTTTAGAACGTACTTGACTCGAATTTCAAATAACCTGTTTATGTGCCACAAACCAGCCAGCAAAACGTACAGACCTCAAAGAGGTATTTTTACCTTTTCATTTTTCTTTTTCACACCTTATACTTCGACTGCGCTCATAGGCTTTTATAGGAAAAAAGCTCTAAGTCGGTCCGTGAAAACGCTGCGAAATAAGGCCTGATATGGGAGTTGCTCGTTCTTGGTTAGGGGTTTCTGGCTAAAGGGAATTATATTGTTTTATGGTATAAGCGCTTTAGAAGATCTCATAACCATTGATAACGAAGGAAGGAATCAACTGACCTGTGGGATGTAATACGCCAGGATATATCCAAGAAACACCAAAAGTCCAGTCTCCACTAGCCACGTGACCCTTGAGGGGCCTGTACCTGTTGCGTTACTTAAGTATTCTAGCGAGCGTGACGTCGTGGAAGGCTGAGATTGAAGAAGGGTCTTCGTCTCTATACGCCAAATCAACTGTTTGAAAAGAATAAAATCATTAACTGCCTTCTGTAAAATTATTGTTTAATAAAAAACTGGACTGACATTAAAATAAAATTATCCTCCATTGCGGCACGCCCTCGCCCTTGCCAGTAGTTTGTTTTCTTGCATTTTTTCCACTCCTTGTGTTTCGCCAATTCGTATCTCTTTCTCTCGTTTTAAATCGGCTGATTTAAATTACATTTTCTCGTTATTTATTGTTTATTTTTGCTGCGTTTAGCGTCCGCTGTATGTCTTCCCTCGTTAGCATGTGCTATACTAGCTCAAAACACCTCAATGTAATTGTAATTCTGGGGCTAATGCAGAGGGACAGTTTTAGTCAGGCAAAACTTATATAATGTGAAAGTTTTGTAGCGTGATAAAGTCCTATTAAAGAGCGTCTGCGTGGGAGGCCATGACAAGCCCAGAAAAAGAGAGATCCCATAACAAAAGAAGTAACGGCCGAGTTTTATTCAGCGCTGTGTGGTTCCCTGTAGTTAAGGTTTTTCTACCTGCTCAGTTCCTAGGCGCTCTCCTCCTTTTAAAAGCGAGCGAGCGCGTCATTCGCGCAAGAGACTGAGAACCGGTTAAGTCTAACGATGAAGGGATATGATTAGAGTAAAAAAAGGAACGCCTGGGTATCGGGCTCCTCATATTCAACAGTATTAATTTTCCATACCCTGTTAATGACGGCTCTGCACGGAAAGATGAGCAGTGGGAAACTAAGCAAAAGCGTACATGCGAGAGCCACTCGACCAATGTTAACAAGTACGTCATCATGGCGGTAGTTCTTTGTAATGTCCTGGTCGATGAATTGTCTGAACTGAAAAAGAACACCACTGTTAATGCTGGCCAAAAACAGGGAATAGTCTTGAAATTAAGGTTTTCTAAGGCTTGCATCAATATCTTGACTTCAAATAGTCTTTGCTCTTAATGTGAAATGGGTTATTGCATTTAATATCCAGCCCTCAACAACCAGTTTGATACAATGCTCCAACTGCTTCAAGTCTTCCACAGGACATTTACAAGGTTGTGGTAAAGCACAGAAAAACGTTTGGTATGTGCACAAATGTATACGCGATACCAGCCTTCCCTTCACTGATCACTTTACTGAAGGTATGTCATATGGGACCTTTTCCAGTACAAGAGAGTCTTCTACATTTTTTGCATTTCAGGCAAGAAGAACAGTCACAAAGGATTTTTTTTGGTTCTTTTTTTGTTTTTCTTTTCGAAAAGGTCATTCATTGGAACTAGAAATAGCTAGAAAACCTATCCAATGGCTTAAAGACCCTAAAAAAGTATGTGACCTTATCTTAATGAGATTCCACCACCTTATAGTCATGAGATGAAGACAAAAGGCAAAGACAGCAGACTCCAATGGCGTTAATGTATTCCTCCGCAAAGTAATGAATAAGGCCCGATTCAGATGCCGCTCCACTCATGTGCTGAACCTAACTGATGAATTAAGTACGGCAAAAGAGCGGCGTCTGAATCAATTTGGTACGGCAGTTTTAGTTTGGTGCGGCAAAAGCGTTAGGTTCCACAGAGTCTGTCGAACTTTTGTCAACTTAACTTAGGTTTGACACACGGTACGCCGTCTGAATCAGATGTCGCGCCAGTGTCGCTCCAAAGTCGAACTTATTCAGTTAGGAGGGGGGCGTAAGGGGGGTACGAATACCGCAATACCGCACGTGGTAGCGCGAGAATACCGCAATACCGCATCAAAATTTAGCCAAATACCGAAACCGCAGTTACAAATGGGAAAAAGTTGACGTTGTCAATACTACAAATCCTCGTTTCAAATAGAAATAATACTTTTATGTCAGAGTTTCCAAATCAAGGTGCGTCGATGTCAAGTGTACGATAAACATAAGATCATCGCACTCGTTTAGCTTTGTTTATTACATGTATACGTTTACTAAATGATACAACAGGAGTTTTCTAGTATCACTTTATATATTACTGACCTGGATCATAAACGGATGGAAAACAGTTGACTCTTATAAGGTTGTTTCAGATTCACAATTAACTCGGTTCTGAGTTGAGGGTTTCAAAACGACGACCCGGGCTGCCTTTTGGATTCGAAGGGCACACAGTACACACTAGCCTGCGTAGCATGGCGGTTTTGGTTAGGCGCGGTAAATAATAAGTCGAAATAAGGCGGGCGTGGGCGAGGAGATTGGGGCGGGAGCTGCTTCGCCGCTCACAGTGGTGCTGCCGACAAAACCATGTAAAACTGCCATGCCCGGGGTGGGGGGTACTTGGGTTAATATTTGGTTGGCATGTGCCGCTGGCCTCTCAGAGCCCCTACTCCATTACAGTCTATTCTGTGGTCAATTATAGACCCCATCTTAGTCATTTGAACAAATATTTAATTTTCTCGATCCCAACTCCGTCACTTTCTATTTTTATGAATTGACCTTGTTTTAGACCGGGGGGGGGGGTACTCCCATACATTACCTATACGGGTATGTGCCGCCCAACGGGGTCGTGATTTTAAAGCTCCTGATTTAGAAAGGGGTATCCATTTCAGAGGCGTTTTCTAGAACGGGGTATAATATTTCGAACGCATGAAAGCTCCAGTTTTGTAAGCAACCATTTGAAATTATTCAAGGACAAATTGCTTTTAAAAATACGGCTCAATGCGTTACTGAAGCAAACTGTTATACTCTTGTTGCAGCCTAGAACCGAGTATAAAAAAATTGGCCCATTTCTAGAACGGGGTATCAGTTTTAGGGCGAATTCTAGAACGGGGTATAAAAAATTGGCCCATTTCTAGAACGGGGTATCAATTTTAGGGGAATTTTTTTTTAGAACGGGGTGCCAATTTGGAGTCCCGGGCGGCACATACCCACCCAAAAAATACCCCAGTGCCCCCCCCCCCCCCCGCCCGGGGTTTTAGATTGAATGAAGAACACTTTACTTTTCATCTACAATACAAACATTCTGGTACCTTTGCTAACCGTAAATGTGAAGAACTGTCTTACCCCAAAAAAGCAGAAAATGTGCGACCCCATTCTAAAAAAACTCTCTGAAAATGCGACACCATTATAGTTAATCCAGTCGTGAAAATGCGACCCCATCCAGCGGCACATCCTCATTAGCCTCTTATCAGGAGGTTCCCACCCCCCCTCACCACCACCACCCCCGGGCTACAATGCTACGTAGGGTAAGCACACACGGATACTAGTACATTCTATATTCCTGCATGCACAACGAGAAGGACAAGTAGTAATTTTTAGACCACACCATCTTTATAGATTATCTTTCGACACTACGCAATTTATAACGATCTCACTGACCTCACTATTTGCTGGAATATCTGACTGATCACTTAGTTGACCCTCTGGATCGCTCTCTATTGTTTGGCGACTGGCACGAAAGTGGTGGTAACATTGGTATAAAGGAGGTTAACCAAGCTGACTATACCCACAAGGTCCATGAAGTCATAAATAATGCGACATGTTTACGTATCATTGGATGAAAAAGTTAATGTCGTTAATCATATCAAGTATTAACTGAAATTAGAAGCCATACGATTTGGCTGCATTGTTTGCGCAATACAATCCCCGACTGTGCACACAGGTCACGCAGGCTAGCCAGGGAGACCTTTTAGGATTTGTATCCTCTTGTCATGAAAAAGAAGCAGATCATCGCGACACAACGATTTTTTCACCGACTACCGCGGCGCAAAATTTAAACTTACCGCAAACCGCTTGGACTCTGAAAACCGCAATACCGTACTTTGAAATAAAAATTACCGCAACACCGCACCAAAAATGACCCAATACCGCAATACCGCAAACCCTTACGCCCCCCTCAGTTAGGTTCGGCACATGAAAAGTACGGCGTCTGAACCAGGCCTAATTAATTATTCATTATAACTATTATTCTGCCACATTTTATGCATGAGATAAAGACAAAAGGCTGTGAAGTCATCAGGGCTAATGTATTCATTCTCAAATCAACAAGATTCCCTCTCAGCAAAGAAGTAACCAGTTCCTTCCATACTACTTTTCATCTTACCTGGAAAAATCCAAAGAAGCTGACAAGAACATTCAGAATATAATTGATTGCCATTGCTGTATAGAGAACAATCCTCTTGTTTGCTCTTGTTTGGTATTGTAGTTCACCATGCATAGGAAGGATGTTAAAATGACATGAAAAAGTCAGTCCAGAGATAGCAATTGCAGTAAGGAAACCACCAAAGTCTGTAGGCCACCACTGCACAGGGTTCTTAGGATCATCCACAGGGCCACCAATATCACTTTTTATTGATTTAAAAATGACAACACAGGCGAGGAACACCACACACAAAACACTGCAAGATAAAACCGCTAATTATCATTCTTGGGTATTTCATTAACATACTGCCTCGTTCCCCAGTCGGTTGCAATCACTTTTTGGGGGATATTTGAGTTAACAAGGAAAAGGCTCCCCTCTGCAATCATTCTAAACGTCTGCGTCTTGCGTTTCTCACTTGTTCTGTGCTCCCCACTAACCCTTGGCAAAGCCTATAGAGGAGGAAGTTTCATGTAGTAGAATAGGTGGGTGATCTGATCATGTGTTGGCAGAAAACTATAAAATGAAAAAGCAACAAAAAACAGAGCCTATAAAAGATGTTATGATCATCAAGTGATGAACTTGGGAGAGAAAATTCAAGAGTCCCTAACAAGAATTAAACCAGTTGAATGACCTGCCACATCCCAGGCAGGCACTCAACTTCCCTGTTAGCAGAGTTCACTTTCTGTTTATTATCGGTGAGAGAATACTTTCTCCTGCCCATGATAAAAAGAAGGTAGAGTAGCTCTGCTAGCAGGGTAGCACTTGATCCATTGAGATACAAAAAATTCATCTGGAGTATGGCCATTTACTAGATTCATATGTTGCATGCATCCAGCATACATGATGGGTTGAGTTTATTGTTTATTGTTCTCCCTTGCTCTCAGGTTTTTCTCAAGGTACTTCAGTTTTCCCATCTCCTCAAAATCCAACATTACCAAATTCCATATTAATTTTGACAAGGAAAGGTACACTGAGAACCACTACACAGATAATGTATTTACTTATTTCTTTAATAAACTTTCTCTTATTAAACCACACACTTTTCTTTCAGAAAACCCTTCACTTAGAATACAAATTTAGACCACGTAAAGTTATTGTGGAGATACGTGGTTTGATGTTGTAGCTGTTGCCTCTCTCTCCAAGATGGAGGTTAAGTGTCAGTCTCTGCATTCATGTATGTCTTAGAGAGAACTTTACCCTGTATATGATTCTCTATTGCCACTGTACTGGTATTACAGTAAATTACATCATTATCAATACCTGAGAACAGATGTGAATCTGAGTGCATTCAAACTCTTCAGTAATGTAATTGGGAAGATAATTAGCATTGGTATAGTCAGAATTACAATCTTCTTTGACCAGAAAGAATGATGACCAACAAGCAGCACAATAATTGGCTCAATCTAAAAATATAAATTGTGGCAGAACCATGTCAAAAGCAAAGCATTACAAGACTGACCCATGATAAGCATACACCCTTTATAAAGTAGACGCACATGTCAGTACACGTATGTCCTGCACTATCTCTACCGGAAAAACCGGCTTTGATAGGCTAGGGTTGTTTATCTTTAATTGTCTCATGACACACATAGTTACTTTTTTATTCATTTCAAAATTTTAACTTCTTTCTGCTGGTAGAAATTGATCTGATGCATGAGAAAGGCCACTGCCTGATGAAGACCAGCAATAAGAATAATAATAAAGAGAAACAATACACAAGCATTGGCGGGTCTACGGGAGTAGTCAGTGGGGATCAAAGCCCCTCCTTATTCATAGCCCAAACTGAAGCAGAGAACAGGACTGACAAAAATCTTTTAATTTGCTTAGGTTCTGGATGAGCAGACTCCTACTCAGACTTGAACATCTGAATTTGCTACTGGTTTTTGAGGACAATAATATTTGTTATTATGAAGATCTTACAAAGACCCTCAGACTTTGACAAGATCCTAAAACAAAAATGACATCTTCTAAGATTTTAATAATTATGAAGAAGTATGGAATCTTTTTAATAATACTGATCGATATATTATAAGAAGAAGAAAAAAATTTAATTTAATTTAAAAATGGCTTGATTTCTTGTTTCCTATAAAAATAAATAGACCTACTTTTCCTTTTGTATTTCCTTTATGTTTGGTAAAACCATGTATAATGGAAATACCAAAATAACCTATTCATTGTATACGTTGTCATTGTTACATTTTTAGTGACAACAAAATCTTTTCCAGTCCCTGTACAAGGCACATGGAAGGTTGTCCTTCTTACCTGGTCTGTTATCAGAATCCAGTAGGCAACTGAACACAGGAACAATGTTACAATAAAGACAACCTGTGTAAGAATCTGATAAAAGAAAAAAACTCTGAAACCAGTGCACCACCCCACTACCAATAAATACATTGAATTTACAGTCAAGCCAGATCAAGCGTACCCCCAAAATTCCATTAATGAATTTATTATTCGAAAGTTGAGTCCGTTGGCAGTTGTAGATTTCAAATTCATCTCTACATTCTTGCATGCGTAATGAGCCGTAAATTCACGTGTGATTCAGTTACGAAATTTCTACCAGCTCAGATTCCCTGAATTTGATGTAAATGTCTTCTAAGAATTTTAATTCATTCAAAGATTTTCAACCTGACCAATACAGACAAGTTCTCGTATATTATTTACTGCTCATTACGCATGCAGTAATTCCGATTTGAATTTGGCACCAGTTATGGGAACGACTAACGGATTCATTTTTCAAATAATCAATTCATTAATAGAATCTTGGGGGGTACGCTTGACCTGTTTTGACTGTAACCAAACAAAACAATGCATGAAATCACCTGGCTATATTCCTGGCCTTAGAGCAAAATCCCTTTGGTGCAGTAGAAGATGGCAAGTGCAAATAATAGCTATTCAGATCTTGTGCCTCAAAAATCCTACCTTAGACCTTAATCATACAGAGGCCCTGCCAGGGGGTGGGGGTGGGGGCGGACCCATGTTGCTCGTCTGAATTTTAAAACGTCTCATGTCGGTGTTTATAAATTCTTCACATCGCTGTTGGGAATTGAATGATGTGTGGTAAAGAAACTATTACAGTCCTGCAATTTCTCAGTTAACATTTTGCGTATTGAACACCTATACATCGCCATTCACAATTAACACAGTTCACAGGAGGGTACACTGAAGCTCACTGACAAGAGATGTTCTCTGAAGCGCAAGGAAAATTGACTAAAATTACTTCTCTTAGCATTCAGACTGGTGATAAAGCCAAACTACCGTTCTTTGTTGCTTATTCTCGGCTTTGCCATCACTGTCGCAATTTGGCTGAGAGAGGTTGTCTCTTGCTGTGATTTCATTTTACGCTCTGTCGCTACTTTTTGGGTCATGTCACTTGTTGGAATTTACCCTGGCAGGGCCTCCATACAGTCATACAAGGGGACAATAATGACACATCTAAACCACATGTAGTGTCAGTAAAATGCAAATGTAATAGAATGTGGTTGTTTCACCCTGTGGGCGTTAAATTTACTTTACAAACATTAGACAGCTTAAGTAACAAGAACATTGACATCCCAGAAGTCATGAATGGCAACCGGAAATCTGATGTCTTGCTTGATGGAACGCTTCTGTTTCACACAAACTGAATGCCTTTACAAGTTTTAACTCCCACTGCGCAAATTTAACGGGTCAGAGCACAAAAAGAGCGAAAATATCAACTTCTGGTTGCCATTTTTTATGTCTGTTACTTCAACGTTGTCATTGCTTAAGGTCGCTACAATTCTATGTCATACACACCTTGCCCTTGTTTCCAAATGCTACATTAGCCACATCCTCTACATTCTTGATTTTCCCTTGACAATATCTCTTGCTGTTAATGATTAAAAATGCTCCATGTGTGGAGGCCATTAATACACACAGTAAAATCACAGATGTCAAGATAAATCCTCCTTGTTGAAATGCAAATGGTAATGACAGGATTCCTCCTCCAATCATAGTTGATACCAGAGTAAATATCGACGAGAAAACAGTTCCGGTTCTCTCATGATCATCGCTACGATGAATAACATGGATAACAAGTGGGGTGGACTCTGTCACAACAGCATTTTCCGCCGTGTTTTCTTCTTCCACTTGTGAACTGAGCTCACTAGAGGTATAAGAAAGCTGAGATAAGCAAACTTACAAATAACATCTATTAAAAGCTCTCTTATTTAAAAAAGTGTAAGTAGAGAGCACTATATGTAATTCTGTTCCACCTTAACAAAACTCTGTTTGAACTCTTTGCTTATAAAAACCGATGTGAAGGCAGCCTATTTTTTCTGCTTTTTGAAAGTGTTAGTTTAAGGGAGCTTTGACTGGACTTGAAAGCTGCAGGTGCCCCATTATTATTAAAGACCTTTACATTTGAGGATGAGGACGACTATGAGTACGAGATTTGACCTAAAGTTTTTTTGCATATTCTCAAAACATCGACTTCCCGGAAAGCTTCATTTTACCATATTTCACTAGAAAAGTTAGCACTGTTATCTTTAGTGAAGGAGGTTAAGTGCTTTCCTGATTGCAAATTGATAAAATTACTAACATTTGATATCTTGTTTTTTCCAGCACAACATTCTCGCTAAAACTTGCGGTAGTAGAATGACGATGGCTACTACATTTTCCTGCCAAAATGATGCTGGTTCTTGCGTGAGCACTACAGAGTGGTGAGAAAATCTTGTACTTGTAGTCGTACTCGTCTTAGAATTTAAACCTCTCTATTAGTTCACCTTAGTTCCTTCCAAGTCTTTTGAGTCCAATAAGTGGACAGAGTGTGGTTACCACACCAACGTACCATGTGAAGAAGTGGCAAGTAAATCATATTATAAATTCCCATTACCTTTCGGTTAAACTTTGATTGTTTCTCGGTCTATACTTTTTCTCACAGGAGGAAGGGTCTATTAGACAGGGCATGTTTATTCCCAGCGTAGTCAATTGAACATTTGGTAATCAAGCTCAATTGAACTCCAAGCATTCAATTGACTATGACTGGGTTCAGTAATCAAACACAATCAAACTTACCTAAAACTTTTGCCAATCAAACACAATCAAATCTCTGGAAATTGACCACTTCAACAATCAAACATAATCGAACGTTTGAAAATTGAAGCTTCAACAATCATACATAAAACCAGTTTCATCTGGTTTCAAACATAAAATGACCTATATGTTGCATATGTTGCGGTTAACAAATAAGTTATGTGTTAGCTTCAATTACAAACATGAATATACAGGCAAGATGATGGAGTGAGCGGAAAAGGTGAAACCCGGCATGAAACTAACAACTGGAAGTGATAGTTAAAGGCTTTCTTGAGTACTCTTTTGCTGTCAGTGTTGATAAAAAGTTAATTGTTAAGAAGCAAAGGAGAGATAGGGGTCCACCTCTCACAGTAACTGACTATGGTGGCAGCCACCAGCTTGGACTTTGCAACCTGAACTGCAACCCGTGTGTTGGCCATTGACTGTCAAAGTTGAAGTGTAAGTCTTATGCCCACTATCACCATTAAGCAATGCCAGAGTATATTTATTTATTTTGAATTAATTTGACAATAAAGATTTCAATTAAACTCCCCAAAAAGCTCTTGTTCGATAATGTTCGATTACTGAACCAATTGAACAACAATCAACCGACTGGGTTTGATTGATTTTTGGTTTGGTTTTGTTCGATTGACAACGTCAGGGTTTATTAGAGTGGGGCATCTAATTGAGAGCTAGTGAGAGGGTGCTTATTAAATCATTTACGTTATGTATGCATAATTTATGAAAAGACAAAGGGGGTAAAACAACTCCCCTGAGACCTTCACTGGGAAAACAAAAACATACAAGATAAACAGGTCAAGGATCATGTGTCATTTGGGGGAATGTTTGATGTATCGGCCAACATCTGGGTCAACTGTCGATCAATATATCGGCTGCTATGTCAGCCGATACTCAGTTGACTCTCAACTGAGATGTCAGCCGAGAGTCGATAGACAGTCGACCAAGTATCGACCAACATCTCGGTTGAGAGTCATTTTCCTGTCGGTTGAGTGTCGATCAACAGATAGCATCAGTAGCGTGTCGGCAATGTATCGGTGAATCCTTGGTCAAGTACTGGTGAGGTATTGGTGGTGTATCGGTTGACAATCAGCATCACCTACAGTCGGTCGATATGTTGGCCGTGTGATGTTTAACTCTCGGTCAAGCATAAGCCAACAAAATCGACTGACAGTCGGCCATGATAGCATGGGTAGTGTGTTGCCAGTATATCGGTGAACTGTTGGATGACTATCAGTAAGGTATTGGTTGTGTATCAGTCGACAATCACTATAGCTATATATAAATCAGCGATCCATCGGCAAAGTACCACCCCACTATCGACTGATAGACTGTAGCGGTCAAGTACTAGCCACGTCTTGACCGATTATGCAGCCGATACTAGACTGCCACTCGACTGATGCATCGACCGACATGTCAACCAACATTTCTACCAAGGTATCGGCCGTTACATTGGCCAAGTGTCGGTGATATGCTGACGATCCCTCAGCAAAGTATCGACCAATAGACTGTAGCGACCGAATGTCACCAGCAAATTGGTCGACTGTCAACCAACATCTTGGCCGAGAGTCGAGCAAGTATCGGCCAACATAGAGGCCGATATATCGATTGACAGTCAACACAGATGTTGGCCGATACATCAATCAAAAGTCCCCCAAAAGATCCCAGGTCAATCGGTCAGCACTGTCAAGTTATGAACAATAGAGCTATTATGGACTTGTTGTATCGCGTATACTTTGATTCTAGACAAAACTCTCTAAACTTCTTCTAAAACCGCGTCCAGTATTTGACTAAAATAACATTTAATATATTCTCACAGTTTTGAAAGAAAATAACCTGGAAGAAATGCAGATTATAAGGTTACATCGACGGGCTAGGATGAAGAAAACATTGCGCAACTTAATTTCGTGCTTGTGTATTTCTGGGGAAAAACAACCCTAGTAAGCTAGAGTCCAATGAGACAGGCTTAAAGCTATTTTGCTTAGGTCATATACAAGATATGCTTTAACGGATATACCGTCTGAAATTAAAATCATGAATTTCATATCTACAAAAATACATCAATCTGCAGTGTTAGCTGGACATTGATGAAAGTTTCACTCCACATTTCACGAAATCCACACCTAAAAATGTACTTACGTAAGTATATTAAAAGACGAATCATCTGAAGATTGTTTCTCCACTCTCTCGGCCATTCTTAGTTCCAGAAACTAAGACAAAAGGCGTCTTGCAATACAGTGTAATAATTATTTCTCCGTTGTCTTTTGTGGAGTGTTGCTGTTTAACTCTCACGCTTGACTCACGCTTGCAGTCTGTCACGTGCTCTTAACCGGAAGTTCCTTGGAGGCTTCCCTGTTGTGTTCAGTCTCTCTCGTCTTGTTGTGACGTAATGGTATGGTGGCTTGGCTGAGCGAAGGTGGAAGGAACTTAAACGAACTGCTGTAGTTGTTAGTTTATATTATAGGATTCAACAAAATGAATCTCTTAAGGACTTGTAAACAGCTGTCAAGACTTGGACAAAACACTGTGGGTTTATTTACATTGATTATGTTTATAATTAGTTGAGTGCCATTGCTCTGATCTGCTCGCAAAAGATTTGTGCATGTGCTTGCTTCAATGTGTGGTGTGTTTGAGGTCTTCTGTCCGTGGTATATGTTATATAGGCTTACCGGTGTTGTCATTATGTAGAGATAATATTTTGATTGCATCTTTTTTTTACAGCAGATAATTCAGCAAGGAATAATAAGAACCTTAATACGACTTCAGTCAACACAAACAGAGACTCAGGTTCGTCACATACTATTGTAGCTTTGCTCATGGTGAAATTCGTAGTACTAGGTTATATTCATTCGACTACTGTTATCAATATTATTCAGCCTATATGCTGACAAGGGATTTATCATTACTATTTTTTCTCTTGTTTTGCAGAACTTGAGGGAGACCCTCTATCGAGTTGTACCGGAAAAACAAAAAGAAGTCGCAGATTTTAGGAAGGAATATGGGGATAGATCTCTGGGGGAGTATACCGTTGACCAGGTACATTTCACACTTCATGTCATTATTGTGACAATTGCATCATCGTTCGCGTTACGATTCTATCACCACTATCTGCTCCGAAAGGTGTAAAACAGTGAAATAATAATTTTTTTATCAATTATTGGAAGCATTGTAAAAATCACTTCACTTTTAAGTGGACCACATCATTTAACAAGTGACAACAGAAAAAGTACGCTTACAACAATGGAACGTTCTAACGATTATTAACTATTTTAACCCAGCTTGGTTATGCTCTGTTATCTCTTACAAATGCATTGTGATGTGGTTGTTATTCATTAGGTAAATCCTGTTGAAAATATGACTTGTTTCTCCTACCGTTAAACAAGAACTGAAAAAAAAAACGAGCAGTATTTCTAGATGATATGAGACATCTTGTTTTCTGATGAAAATCCCTTAGCTTGGACTGTGGTGAAGTGAAACTTGATCTTTGTTATGGGTTCTGCAGAAGCATGAAAACTTGAATTCAGGTGTCACTTATAAGCCAGTTTATCATAAGTCAAACTTGGCTCCTACTTCCCTAAATCGTAATGCATCTTGTCTGTTAAATATCCCTCAACCTTGGAACCTAGTTATTTTTTTAGCAAGAGTTTTTATAATTCAAAAACTAGACTATTGTGTACCAAGTATCAAGTCAGCAATAAATGAAGCAAAGAATTACACAGGACCACAAATCCTGTATTAAAAAATACATTTCAAAGTTAATGAATTTAGTTCAACAAGACATTAGCAAAAGGAGGATATAACCATCCTCCCATCGTGCATTGTGGTCAAACTATATTATCAAACGGCTGAATCCCAGCGTGACTCATTTCAAAATTTCGCAATACAACACAAGGGGACAAGAGAGAAATGATTCCTTAGAAATCCAGTATAGTCCAAAAACTATATTGATTGTACAAGGTACATGTACATTGTAGCAACAGTTGCCCTTCTCAGGTCTAAGAATTGTTTGCCACTTAAATTTTTTGTTGAGATTGTTTGACCATAAGTAAATAAAAGCTTACTGATAAACCTTGGCTATGGGGGTCCGCAGTGAAATAAATGTTCAATAATACTTCTTAGAATCTGGCTACATGTTTTTTAGTAAAGTATGCATTTAATGTCGAAAGTATCAAAGAAGCTGGCTACATTCAATGATTAACATGACCAGTGGATATCTTACTCAGGGTTGCCACTGCCAGGGAAAAGTCCGGGAAAAACAAAAAATTTTCAAGGTCAGGGAAAAGTCAGGGAAAATCCTTGATATTGTCAAAGTCAGTGAAAAGTTCAGGGAATTCTGTTTTCCAGTTTATAGTTCATAAGTTTTCTTCGACACTTTGAAATGCGTTTTCCTTCAGAAAAGATGAAAAGTATGCTGTAAAGCAAGCACAGCAATCAATTTGACATTCTACACCTGACATACACCTCTATGTAGTAGTTGTGGTCAGTGGTTTTCGTTCTGACTGCTTTCTTCCAAATTCCTTCTTCCTCTTACACGAAAAGCAGAAAGAGGTTGAAAATGAAGAGAAAAATATTGACAGCCTGCAAAAAAAGCTAAAGCGAATGTAAACATCGATTGTTTTTCATTAATAAAAGGTCTGTGAAAAGTCGGGGAAAAGTCAAGGAATTTTTAACTTTCTGATGAGTGGCAACCCTGTTACTGAGCTGGCCTACATGTATAATGACATGTACCCCTCTCTCGCAGCTTCAAACACTGTTGACCTCCAACTCTACTGTCGTGAAACAGTAACTACAGTCACAGTAATCTGCTGTCTGAATATTAGAAAAAGTAAAAGGATTCTATTTAATTGTAAACTTGTTGAAAATATTACCAAATGCACTCCTGCAATGGAAACTGCAATGCAATGAAATAATAATTAATGAAAAACCAAAAAGTGATTAATTTTTAGAGTTTATTCCATTTATTCTTATTCTGGGATAAACGGGTGCTTAGAATAACTAAAGATTTTGGCTTCTGAAAGTGAAACAGTCATAAAACTCCTTTTGTGTTAACATCTGGCTTGTTTTCAAGGTTTATGGAGGAATGAGAGGTATTACTGGCCTGATCACAGAGACATCACACTTAGATCCAAATGAGGTTAGTTCTCAGTTAAAGAAACAAACTTACATCATTCTGTACTTTAAAAGAACCTAAGAGGAATCTAAATTAATTTTTTTGATGTACTTTTGATGTATAACGACGTTGCAAGGTCTGAAGGGCATGTACATCTATAGCAATGATGTCATTGCTGCCCCCCACCCACCAATCTGAATGGGCATCCCATAAAATGTGATGGGAAAAGGGGATAAATCAACATCCACGATTTATACGAACGTGTAGATGCAAGTCAAACAGTGTTGTCCTTATCAGGCGGTAACCGGTAAAATTTACCACTTAAAACAACACTTCTTACCGCCTGCAACCACTTGAAGTGTTACTAAAATTAAATAAGTTGCCATAAAGATATTAATCATATGTATAAAGGGTTTAGTTTTATCGTTTGTCTCACGATTGTCACTTTGATATTGATCGCAACATCTCGACCGCACACTACAGGTCTTCATCGGGCGAAAGTGGCAATTTACTGGGTTGAACTATCTGTACCACCGTGGTTGTTAATGATTGGTGTGTCAAGAAAGGGAGTCATGTTGACACATTAATCATAAAAGATTCAGAAGGATGCCTTACTACAAATCTTTACAGAAAACCTACACACACTGATCAGTAACTGTCTTATGACTCACACCATCCTCAATCGGTTAAACACGATGTTGTCAAGTGTTTATACGATTGATCGAAACCTCTGAGGAAAAGAAGCATTTAACTTCTGTCCTTGTCTCTAATGGATACCCCTATTCTTTTATAACTAACATCACAAAATCCAAGAACCGACAGGGCCTCTGACAAAGAACCTGCAACCGAAATTAAATCCACAGCAGTTCTGCCATACATCAAAGGTGTATCTGGACCACTTCACCGTTGCCTACAACAGCATGGCGTACGATCTGTTTTCAAATCCAATACAATACTAAGATCGCACTTAGTGCAACCTAAGGATCCTGTGGATCCACGAAAACAAGATGGAGTAGTGTATAAGATTCCTTGTGAATGCAGCAAAGTATACGTTGGCGCAACAGGAAGATGCAAGCATGAATGGATTAAGGAGCACGACAGGGATATATGGCTTTCACGAACTCAAACTTCAGCCATTTCTGAACACGCAAATACGACCAGGCATTATCCACTCTGGGACAAAGTTAAGTGTATCGACCGAGACCCTCACTGGTACATGTACTCTCATAGAGTTGAGAAGGCTATCCACAGAAGACTTCACCCTAACAATATCAACAGGGTTGGTGGGATTGAGATTCCTGAATCATGGATGCCTACACTCAGACAACATGACAACCGACCTGTACCACAGCGCACCGCCGAGAGATCAGTTTCTTCCTCTCACAATGCCAACAATGCTTTGGATCGAAACCCACCAAGCTTGAGGTTTGTGATACACCATTCACTAACAACGATGGTGGTACAAATAGCTCAACTCAGTAAATCGACTCTTTTGCGTGATGAAGACCTGCAGTGTGCAGTTGAAACGTCACGATCGATATCAAAGTGACAATTGTGAGACAAACAATAAAACTAATCCCTTTATTAAATAACTTGTTTCAAGGAATATGCAAGTTATGACCCAAGCCGATCCTAACAAGAAAAGAAAGTAAATACATAAAAACAAAAAGTATACACAGCTATTCTGTCAGATTACTGACTAGTTTCTTTCTTTACTGGTCAAGAATGGCCCCTTACCTTCTGAGCTAAAATTATGGGAGAACACTGGTCAAAACTAAAAAATTTCAGCATAAGTAGATGATGTCCTTTGATATTGCAATTTTTTGGTTGGCACACATATATTGTTAAGTTAGGATGGCTCTTTTTGTGTTGGCAATCCAGCATCATTGAGGGTGAAAATTACTTGATAACATTGACTTGCAGTTGACTAAATTTGTTTAGGGCAGTCTTAGTTGGAAACTTAATTTTACCTTTTCGTGTGTCTAGGGTATTGAATTCCGAGGTTATACAATTCCACAGTGCCAAGAAGTAAGTAAAATATTAAACAATAATATTATGGGATAAGGTTTGGCTTGATTTGTCAGTAGGGAGCAGATAAATAAATTAAACAATGTATATTTCATACACCTCCATGTTTCTTTACCCGATACAGAATATTCCTAGTTCAGATAACTACCATTTGATTTGGAAACATCCAGTAATTGTACATTTCAATGAGAATTGCTTGTGTTTATGCAAGCTGGTCATGACAATATTATGTGCCCCAATAGCATAATATGAAATAGGTTATACAAATTCACCTTGATATGTTTGTATTGTGCTAAAAGGAACTAAACATGACCAAAAAAACTGAAGAATTGTCTTGTTTAAAAAAGAATGGAAGGTAAATGCTAAAGGTGCTCTTGGCAAGTAAAAGTCTGGGTTCAACTTGAAGTGGAATGCATTGTGGGATGCGATGTGGCAGCTTCATGGCTGTATCTATTATTGTTTTTAAATGGCCAAACAAAAACAGATGCAAAGCGCCCCCTGATATTTTTTCTCTTCGGATGAAATTCATAATCGTGATGATCAAAAAATTTTAGTACAACAACTGCCAAGTGCTGCTTTGGCCCCCCCCCAAAAAACTGGGAACCAGATAATTGGAAAAAATAACAATACATCCAAACAGGCAGCCTAAAAGCACATGGAGCAAGTGGAGGGCATGCCATACATGTAAGTGTAAAGGCAAAATGGGTAAGCGAGAGATCAAGGGATAAAAGACCCATGCCTGCATCTCTGTCATGTGTTGATGTTGTACGAGATTTTCTTGGTAATTGCAATGTCCTCATCTTGTTGTGAGAGGACAAAATGTGAAGGCCTTGCTTTTCAGGGTAATGAGCCATGACCAATTATTGTTATAAAAGTGTCCTCAACCAATGGTTATGTTGCTTCATTTTACGTACATGTACATTTAAATTGTAGCATCATTGAAATTTTAGGGAGAAAGGTATGGCTTAGCCTTCTGGTTTTACAATATATTTATTGTAGCTAGTACTGACTGTGTGGGATGTTTCGTGTATGTAGCTTTTACCAAAGGCTGAAGGTGGTGAAGAGCCGTTGCCTGAAGGGATTTTCTGGTTACTGATGACTGGTGAAATTCCAACCAAAGCTCAGGTTAGTTGATTTACTTAACATAACCTTTCCTTGCCACGGCATGCAAAAGCTTTTGTCGAGTTGTCAGGGATAAGTAGATTTTCCTGCAGGCCAAGAAACTTTTCGCATATTCACTGGCCTAATGTGCAAAGGACCAGGCAAGTCTTACAAAAATGTAACACAATTAACTACAAAACTTGCTGTCTAGAGTGGTCATTCTAAATCCAAATGGGATTTTTTAAGTTTTTGCTACAAGCCCATCACTGCTGGGCATAGTTAGGAAATGCATTACTTAGGAATAGACTGATCTGGCTGAACAGGACAGCCCTGACAAACAGTGAAATTATCTTCCTGACTGAAATGGTCTGGCCAGGTGGTTCTTATCCATAGCAAGTTTCCTGGTGAACTAGACAAGAAAGTAAAAGCTGCTTGCCGATAGGAAAAGTTGTGATACCATTTAAAATGTGCACTTAAGGGAGATCTCATTTTCAGGGAATGCTATACTGTGTCTACATGTAAAACTGGGCTTGCTGGAGATTTGCTGCATTACACTTCCTGTAGCAAGAGAGAAAACAGAACGGAACAGAACAGAACTAATATGTCAAACGCATGTCAAAAGTTCATTGTGAAATTAGCCCATCAGAAATTTTCATTGAACAGCATAAATTATCATACTGTATGTACTTCTGACAGTTGTGTCTCATCAAAGCTATAAAACTTCACAGAATCCCTACCTCTCTAATGCTCAGTAATGTGGAAATTAAAGGGGCTGTGTCACGGCATCCACTTCATTTTGTAAAATTTTGCCAATTACTCGCCCTCGGTTGTTATGGAAGTTAATGTAAGCAAACAAATTACATTTAAATGACAAAATCAGAGATCCGAGACAAACAAATATGACTTGTCTCCCGAGCATTATTTTTGAAGTTGCAAGCGGCAGGGATCAACTTTGAAAAACTGTTAGGCTGAACACTCAGTTTTCAAAAACCCTAATTTCAATCCAATTCAATCTTCTTCAGTTTTGCCCTTCCGTGGAATCTGTTGTTTCTGCTCTGTTATTTTAACCTTCCTTTAATGTTTTATGTGGTTATTTTTATGTTTCTCTTAATTTAACGGGCATTTTGTAATTACCTAATTTGTCTGAATTTCATGACACAGCTCCTTTAAGCTTTCTCCATTTGGTTCCAAAGTAAAGGATGGCCCTCATCACCATATACAACAGGAAAAGAAAATTGAAACGAGGGCATAAAATTGACCCACTTGACATTTATTCCTTTTTTTTTACAGGTTGACAGTTTGTCGAGAGAGTGGGCAGCCCATGCTGACTTGCCACAACATGTTGTACAAATGTTAAACAACTTTCCAGAAACCATGCACCCAATGAGTCAGTTCAGTGCTGCCATCACAGCCATGAACACAGAGAGCCAATTTGCCAAGGCTTATGCACAGGGGGTGCATAAAGCTAAACACTGGGAGGTAAAATCAGCAATGAGTGGCTGACATTGTCATTAATTTTAAAAATTTCTAATATGTGAGGTTTAATAATATTCAGAGTGCAGGAGAAATATTTGTCAACTGAACAATCATTACAGTTTTGTATGCAACTGATGAAAGCTTGGAACAATTTAAGCTTGACAGGATTTGATCCCTGACTTCTGTAGTACCGTTGCAATGAGCAATTTTAATTGTCAGGTTCACCTATTAATGATACACATTTGTTGGAAAAAATCTTACTTGTCATTTGTTGACACCTTGACACATGGTGTGACATTAAGGATAGTAGGCGGTTATGATCCCACTAGTCTGGAAAGGCTATTAACACTTGGATATAGGACAAAAATGTCAACATTTAGGGATTGTTTTTTCATTGAATTCTCCTGCTCCTATGGTTGATTAGAACTTAAATATTACCCATGTTCTACATTGTATAGACCCATTCCAAAAACAGCAGCTTCGTTAAATATTCTTTGGTTTATGTTAAAATCAGCTTTACTGTATCTTCCCTCCCAGCCATCAAAATTCAAAACAGTGTAATTTTTTGTCTTAAATGAGGTTAGTATGTGTAGTCAAATGGTGACGAGTGAAATTATAAATTAGGGAATAATTTCACGCGCATTTTGTCCAAATCCTAGGCTCGGGAAATTATTAGGATTTGGACAAAACGCAAGTGAAATTATTCCCTAATTTCACGAGTATACCATTTGATTACCTATTAATATCATGGGTGACGAATTATGTTAGCAATCTTGGCTGTGGTTTTTGCCATGTTTGTCCTGGATCGCATTGATCAAGAACTTCCCTCTCTCAAACATTTAGAGCTTAAATTTGGCTTAAGTTCAGAATTTTTCAACAAAATACCTGTTAGAATCCTTCTTGATGTGCTCTTTCGTGTGTTCAGGTTTTTTAAGGCGTCTTTTTATGCCCTGGCATCTTCGTTCATGACATTTTGAAACTTTGTCGCCATTTTGACACTGAGACGTACAGAAGGTTGCCATGGCAATTTTGTAATTTCACACGTGAAATTACAAATTATCGCTGAAATTTCGCGCCAAAATTAAGGAGTAATTCGTCACTTATGATATTAATGAAGCTAATTTCAACATAAAGAAAAGAGTATAAAACTAGCCACCATTTGTGGAGTGGTTGTATTCCCTTGTTCATGGTTGTTGTTAACTATGACCATCTTTTCTGTTTTCCAGTATACATTTGAGGACACCATGGAGCTGACAGCCAAAATAACAACCGTTGCAGCCTACATCTACAGGAATGTCTTCAAGGATGGAAAAGTTGCTCCCATAGACCCCAATAAAGACTGGGCAGATAACTTGGCCACTATGCTTGGTTTTGAAGACCCCATGTTTCATGAAATGATGCGACTTTACCTCGTTCTTCATGCTGATCATGAGGGAGGTAACGTCAGTGCACATACCACTCATCTTGTTGGTAGTGCTTTATCAGATCCCTATTTGTGTCTTGCTGCTGGAATGAATGGACTGGCTGGACCGCTGCATGGTCTTGCTAATCAGGTAACTACATCATTTTGTAGAGCATGCCCTGAGAAAACAACTGATAATTATTTCACACCACAATGGTTAGGGTCGAGTGAAAATATTTCTACACTTTGGTTTGATCTCCACTGATGCGTTTTTTAGGCCCTACCAGGGTAAATTCCGACAAGCGACATGGCCCAAAAAGTAGCCACAGCGTGTAAAATGAAATCGCCACAAGAGACAACCTTCCTTGGCTAAATTGCGACAGTGACAGCAAAGCCGACAATAAGCGACAAGCATTTATAAACACCGACACGAAACGTTTTAAAATTCAGATGGACGACACGGGACCCCCCCCCTCCCCCGGCAGGGCCTCATTTTTGGCTACATAATGTTATCACACGCAAATTTTGATCATGTAAAAAAAAAAAAGGCAAGATAAAAAGTGCTGAGTTTAAACAAGAAGTTGAGCAAGGTTCAACTTTTACGCCTACCAGCAACCTTTCATGTATTGCCTCTATTTTATTTGCAAACGTAAATTTTACTCACCTACAGATGTAAAAATTACACGACACTGGAAATCGACCCTTTGTCACTTATCAAACTACACTGCCACCCTGTGTTATTCTCTCCAATAACTGAGTTGCAAGATTTGTGCTAAAATCAAAATTAGATCTGCCCAAATTGTTGACTTTTTAGATGCATTTTCGGAGGGCTAACTCAGTGTTAAAAACCATTATGAAGTTTTAACAAACATCTTAAGGCAAATTTGCATGTGTTCAGTTAGCGTCTATTGCCTACTGCTAACAAAAGAACACAAATTCAATCATAACGCATCTAAATCCCACCCTTACAATTGGTTACTTTCTCTAACAGTACATCCTTTTTTCACTATAATAAAGGGACCTTTTCCAGCCATAAAGTCTCTTTCTTTTGCTCACAACCGCACTATCACTAACCACTGAAAGCAACTGACGAAGGAAACCATTGTAGATTTTCAAACCAGTCTTACAGTTCTTATCAAGTCTCTGAGGCTACCATTGATTGTTAGAGCCCAAATCCCTTCACTTTAACAACGTTAAAGGAATTATACATAATAGGGTCAAGTGACGATATTTCTACACTAGTGCAAAAAGGGAATCTGTTTTGCACAGAATATAATTTATGGTTAAATGCAAACCATGAATAAACTTCCAAGGTTTTATGTTATGAAGACAGGTCACTTGAACTACCAAGAAAATTACGCATTAAAACTTTCACTTCCAGTAGCTAGTCTAGATGTTATATATGTACATTTTTAAAAATACAAGGGCTTACCTATCATTCTTCTTGCTGCAAACTGTACTGGTACACATATGTATGAAGCCCTCTAAACCTGATACAAAATTTTTATCGTAATGCAGGAAGTTTTAATCTGGATCACAAACATGCTGAAAGAAGTTGGAGAAGACCCAACTGATGAGAGAGTTCGGGAGTTTGTGGAGACAACATTAAAGAGTGGGGTAAGTTATGAATGCAACAATAAAAGTCCAATAATTTTTTATCACAACATTTGAAACTCCTGATGAATCAAACTTCTACTTTTCAAAGCAGACTCAGTTAGACATACCATAAAATTCCAAAAATAAGCCCCTCCATGTATAAGCCCCTCCAAATATAAGCCCCCCAAACCAGTGACGCAAAAAACCTTCCATTAAATCGCCCCTCCAAACATAAGCCCCCTGGAGGCTGATGCGTGGAAAATTACCCTCAAATACAAAGCAAAACAAAGCAAAAACGGTAAATTTACCTCCAACTATAAAGTTAGCCCAACTGATTTTGAAACGCAAATTTCCCTCCATAGATAAGCCCCTCTGAATATAAGCCCCTCCAAAAGTAAGCGCCCCAAAAAGGGCCTTTGAAAAATATAAGCCCCAGGGCTTTTTATTGGAATTTTACGGTATATTAAGCCTATTTACATCATTTTTCATAACATTACAATTATTATTATTATTCATTCAAAATATTTCACCATTAATTTTGCAATTTGCTCCATCATAACCAACCGGTACCTACCATATTTGGAAGATGTAGGTAATGTTCAACTTAATTAATAGGTTGTTCCCTGAATGTAAGATGGCAACCTCTTTTCCAGGTGTTGGCATGGCTACCTAGATGTTTATGCAAGAGTAATCTAAAAAAAATAAATTAATGTTGGCTGTCCGAGGGTAAATTAGCTGAACTTACTGATTAAAACTGAACTGATGAAATGCAGGAATATTCAAAAATCTTGATACATGGATGCCATCTACGTTTTGAGGAGTATCTGCATGAAAAGAAAATGTCTCTAAATCCTAAAACACTGCCGAGAAACTGACAAACGTTTTGAAGAAATTCTGGGAGGACGTAAGGTTGTTAAGAACATGAAATATTTTGAGTGAATAATAAAAGAATTGTGAATTCGAAGCCTTTTTATCCACCTCAGCCGATAACAATCCCCTTCACATCATAGTCAGCCTCAGCCTCATTCAATAAGAGACCATTTTACTGTTGTGGGCTCAGTACCCTAGCCTTCAAGTGAATGTGAGGCTGAGGTTGACCTTGTTTAGATACAAACCTCCTTTGTTTTCTTATGGAAATTATGCTTAAAAAACTAGTAAGCATAAGAACATGATTTACTTGAGAAGGCTGGGAGGGTTTTATCGAATCAAGGTCAACTCTAGCCTTGTTTCCATCTGTAACTGAAAAATGGGCTATAGTTTTAAGTTAACAAATTTTTGTTTACTTTAACAGCAAGTTGTACCAGGTTTTGGACATGCTGTTTTGAGGCAGACAGATCCAAGGTACACAGCTCAGCGGGTTTTTGCTCTGAAGCATCTACCTGATGACCCCTTGTTCAAACTTTGTGGCCAGCTTCTAAAAATTGTCCCTGATGTTTTATTGGAGCAAGGAAAAGCCAAGAACCCATGGCCAAATGTTGATGCACACAGTGGCGTGTTATTGCAGGTAAATACCGCATTTGTACATTGACCTGTCAACACTACAATATTATATCTAAACGTAACATTTCAGGCATTTCCTGGTGTTGTTGCACCCAAGGGCATGCTGATGCAGGTTAATAACAGGAAAATATCAGAAAATAACAAGTCGATCACCTGCAAAACACTTGCCAGTTCATTTCAAGAGAACACTTGAAGAAACTAATAATTTTTTGTTTACTAAAGGAAAAGATGTGAAATATGCATGTAAGTGTTTAGTTATTCAGCTAATGAAATGTTATAGCGTGCGTACAAACAAAAACCTCTGAAAATAGTTTTTATACTACACGTCGCTGGCAACCTGTTAACAATGGGTTGTGTTGTACAGAATTATCTAACTGCTGTACAAGAATAAAACTGCAGTCTTATATTTTATACTGTATTTCTTTCTGGTTTTCATTGGCCCTGGGCAACAATAACAACCAGTTGCCTACGGAAGCCAAGAAGCGTCCTTCATTTTACTCGCACTCCGTGGTCTACGTCTCCAACACTTTCCTATGGGGGAAGAAAAGGGTCAGAGATGTAGACCATGGAGCAAAAGTAAAATTATTAATTATTATTATTATTTATTATTTATTATTATTATTATTATTATTATTGTTATTATTATCATCATTATTATTCGAGGGAGTTGATCATGATTTGGGTCAAAGAAGAGCGTCAGCATTATGGGCAGGCATTGAAGTATCTTTTTAATTTGTTTGTTTGTTTGGCGTTTCAGTTCTATGGCTTAAAGGAGATGAGTTATTACACGGTACTGTTTGGAGTTTCACGGGCGCTTGGTGTTTTAGCTTCATTGGTGTGGTCACGTGCGCTGGGCTTCCCAATCGAACGCCCAAAGAGTATGACAACAGAGTTAATGAAAGCAGCAGTTGGAGCTAAATAACTGACAAATACTTCAAAAAATAATAAGGGTAGAACTTTTTTTACTTACGATAACTAGCGAACTGCTCGAAACAAGATCTGTGTGGTTTTTGAATGCACTTTTTTCAGTCATGTCTGGTCAACTTAATCATCTATTTGTAACTATCTTTTTGCCCATAACAGGGACTATTTATCAACTAGAAATTTTGAAAACGAATTGCACCTTGCTTAAGTATTTTTAGCTATTTAGTCAATAGAAAGACTGCAAGAAAATGGCTACTTTTTCAATAAATATTGGTGTGTTATTACTACTGAGGGCCGACAAGGCCTGTCGATGGAATATGCAGTTTGTACTCAATGTGCAATACTTGTTTTAATGTTGATTAAACCTCTGTTTATGTGCTTAGCGCTTTGTCCATAAAATATGTTTATCATTTAACCTCTGGTTTATTGAACTTTGTTGTCTGATGTCGATGATACACGGCGATTGGTATGAATATTAATGTAGCCTCAACTAGAACAAGTATTTAATAAATAGAGGATACTGTATTACATGACCGCAAAAAAAGATCGATATTCGCAATTTCTCTTAGAATCTCGGATCCAATTTAAACTTGCCAGTAACGCCCAGTGGGTATACTCAATATTCTGTGGCCCTTAAATAAATAGGTACTTGGCCTGCGAATACTTATATCGTTGGTTCTCTCCACCCGAAAAATCACTTTGAATGGCTGATACCTGTTCGGTAAGCTCCATCCTTATCATATTGCGTCATAATTCCGGTCTCTCGATGTAAATTCTGTAAAATTGTATTTTTCACTGCTTTCTTCCACCCGCCACGTACTAGCCTCCCACGCAGACGTTCTTAGGGGTTCATAACTGCCACAACGCGCGACGAACCCCAAAGAACGTCTGCGTTGGAGGCTAGCCACGTACATGCTATTCTGATACTCTTCCCGGTTCTCACTAGGGGGGTCACTCAACAAAGTTTTTTTCACGGCGAGGCTCCGCTCCGTGGTCAAACCCCTAACGCTACTCAATAGCACCCATGTTTTTAGGTACCCCCCTTCAATCATGTTAAAAGATTTAAGGGCCTCCCTTTCTTACATAATACCCAAATGGTAATAACAAATAACATTTTCTTTACTTTACCGTTCTTACTCACTGTCACTTCCGAATGTGCCAACTACATAATCATCATCTGAGAGTGATTCGTCATCTTGCTGGTCAGCATAGGACATGGAGTCTGCCATTTCCAACTGTTTCTCTTTTATAGAATTAAGCTCATTATTTCGCAGTACATGGCAGCTGATGGTTTTTATTTTGTCACTTTTTTTACCATACTTGCCAAGGACACAGACAGTGAGTCCGCATCAACCTCATCTACAAATAATGATTCGGATAGTGAGATTGCATAACATGACTTTATGCATGTAATCATTTGTTAAAATGCCGATGAAATTGTTTCAGTGTTACACAATAATGGATGTTGTGTTGATGCACCTACTATTTGAGCATTAATTCGTTTTGTCAAAATCCTGATGAAATTGTTTTAGTATTACACAATATAGGACTTTGTCTAAGACTGAATCAAAATCAGGTCCTTTAATACTCAAGCATCATGCTGCTCTTCCGGCTGCTAGCCAGCACACAGCAGGACGTTTTGCTTACACACCCAAACAATTTTCCGTTTTCACAGGCAAAAGGTGTCATTTCCACAGCTCGCGTGGGGTGATTTTCACCCGCACTTACTTGCTTCGCCCGCTCTAACATCCATATAAAAAATTACAGTGCGATTGCCAGGAGAGAAAATAATCCTTTTTATCCAGCCAGAACCGGCATAAATTTTTCATTTTTTCAGCTAGCAAGGCGCTCATTCAGATTTCCCAGCCAGCTAACTAGCCAAATTTTTTTTTTCCAGCTAGCTCAAATTCTGCCTGAAGAGCGGGTATTTTGTCGAGCGGCTCCGTCGGGTACTCCTGAAACCTCGAATCACAAACTAAAATGCTAGGTGATCACCCGTCACAGTGAATATATCATTCACGAATCATGACTGTATTTCATGAATTTTCCCGATTCACGCTCTGTCACACGGGTCAATTCACGGATCCCGCGAATCCCCCTCCGCCCCTGTCAGTCCTGATCGGCGAAAGCTTTGATTTTAGATTTTGCTATTTTAAAAAGCAGTTTAAGGCCTCACTAGAACAGTTTTATATTTTTCCCGGCAGAAGTGTTTGCATGTGGACATTGGACTATACACTCGAACTCAATTCACTGTTTCAAAAGAGCTCTGAGCTCCGCCCTAAGAATGAGTAAACTGACTGTAATTATTTACTGTTATTTTTCATAATGTTTATTTATTTATTTATACATATATCACATTTTTAATTTGTCACTTGCGAAATGATCTTCAACTTCAACTTTGTTTAATGAAAATACTAAAAATACTGATTACAATAGACTGGCCCAAAGGCCCACAAAATATCAATTGCTTAAATCTAGGCGGACCAGTCAAAAGTAAAAGGAAAGGAAACGAGAGAAACTATTTGAAGTTACAATAAGTTAACTACAGTCGAACCTCTCGGTGCGCACACCTCTCTATTACGGACAGTTTCCTATGTTCCGACAAAATTCTCATATATACATTTCCTCTAAAAAAAACCCTCTATAATACGGACCCTCTCTAATACGGACAACGGACACAAAATCTCAGCCCTTTGGAGCAAATTCATACAAACTTAACCTCTTTATTGCGGACACTCCGGGACAAGGTGTCGATAATTTGCGGTATATGTACCATTTCCTGTCGGCAGTTACACAAACATTGGCACTTTATCTGTCAGCGATACCAATATCAGAACATGTCTTAGGCGAAGTATTTCGTTTTGTTCCAAAATTCGTGTGTACAGCATGTAACTGAGAAGTACAATAACATTAATCAATTTAGATTCAGAAATTAACCAGACACTGAGTTTTGGGCTTGATTTTACTTACTGAACACTGGGCTCTTAAAAGTGAGGTAATCATAGTGATCTCTCTAATACGGACACTTCGCTCTGTCCCTCGGGTGTTCGTATTAGAGAGGTTCGACTGTATGTTGCAAACTCTCTTCATATTTTCGCCGAAAGCATATTGGTTTTGCTAAACTTATTCCAGTTATGAGAATTTTAAATGCCTCTTATCTATTAAATGTTCCTTCTTGGACCCCTAAAATAAAACCCGCAAAATTAACGCCCCGGGGGTCACAGTTTCATCGGACTACACGTATCTGGTATATTCTGTCACGCAATCCCTATATCGCAGAGTTGCGTTACTAAGCTATCTTTTTTAGCAAGTCTTGCTTAAAAGTCTAAAGAAACGTATTATGGAGCTGAAGGACCTGTAGCTATTTTAGGCCCGTTTTGCTGTCCTTGACAGCCGTGTATCCTGTCAAAAGCCATTTTTTATACCACGAAACCTCAAGATCGAGGAACGGCTCGGCCCCGGGGGGGGCACTTTAGGAATTTCTGGGTGGGGATGTCCCGCTGGGACCCTGGAACCCTTGACCTATACCAGAGCTAGTTCAGCTGAATTTTGCTACCCTATACTAGAGTAAACTTTCAAAATTCCCCTATCCTAGAGTAGCTGTTTCCCCAGTCTAGATAAAATCTTCAACCAACTGATCAGTTTCCTGAAAAATGATACCCTATTCTAGACCCAAACGCTCTGATTTATATATAACCTATCCTAGAGTAAACTGCTTGAAAACCATACCCTTCACAGCGGCACATACCCATATAGCCCATATATGGCAGTACCCCCCCCAGGGGCTCGGCCGGCGGCACGGTGACACAACTGTCACACAGGGAAGCCAAAGTGTTTGTTTACACGTAATGGCGCGATTTTACGCGAACAGCCAATCAGTAGCAAGGATTCCACAGCCTCGCCCGACTGCTCAATTGAAATCAAACACAGGCCTAGAAATTCTGATCTTCTGCATTACCTTGCTTGCCAGACGTTCCTTCTGACTTACTGAAAATGGCTGAAACTCAATACAAACCTCCTGGACTGGAAGCGTGGGATGTGGTGATAGTCGTCCTGTACTTTATTGTTATTCTTGGCGTTGGATTATACGTGAGTAGCTCATGACATTTTGTTAATAATTCAGCTGAGCGAGAAATAACCTGCTTGGCTTGTTTTTCTTTCTATTTTGAAAATAGAGTGGGAAATTGCTGGCTATTGAGTGCGTACATAATTATATTAAAACACATGTACATAGTAAAAGTGTTTGTTTGGGGTGCGGAAGTTCTAATCTCGTGCCGATTGTTGTTGAGGATTTTATACATTAAAGGCAGTTAGCTCTTGCACGACGGTTTTGCAACAAGTGCAAACTGCATTCTTGTAGGGAAACGAGGTAAATAATTTTAAGAAGTGCACCCAAAACTATCTCAAGACGGTAAAAAGAATTCAAGGTTAGGGACAGGGATAGATATTTTTTGAAAGCATTCACCACTTCACATCGCTTGCTTGCTCTATCGCGTAGCATAATTATGCGGAATAATTTTGTAATCCGATAGCGAATCGCGCGCGCCACGTTGAAAAATAGCTTGCACCTCGATCGCGAATCTAGTCCTTGCTTGTTTCAAATTTGATCAAGCAAGCCTGGGATTACTTATGTGCTTATGGTCTTGAGCGAGCTTCATGAATATTAAGCAATCGTGTTTTCACAAATTGACCAATCAGAAAACAGGTTTTTTAGCCTGATCTTTGCGGAGGGCTCAAACATTTTACAATTTTCTCAGTTTTGGCCCAGAATTTTGTTAGTAGTCTTGTGGGTTTGTGCTTTGTGATGTTAAAATAAAAATATATATTATCCCCAGTTTCTTGAAAATACTCATTAAAGGCCTTGGCAATATCAGGAAGATTACCTCCAAAAAGACCCAAACAACCCTAAAAGCTTCATGGGGCAGAGAGGAGTTATGTTTGATCTTTATGAAATTCAGTGATGTTTCACTCCTGTGATTGAAGGGCTACTTTAAGTTGAAGATTTCACCACTAACTGATTTTCGCGTACATGGAATTTATTTTGCACTTGTAGTAATAGAAGAAGTCGACTGAAAAGTTAAATTAATACTATGAAGAAAGGTCATTACACATATCAATTTGGGCTGAAGTGACAGGCAAATATTATACTCACAATTTATGTTCCATATGCGGCTATAGTAAGCTTCAATGTGTGATCGGTGGTGACACTTTTGAAATGTAACTTGCGTGACGAACTTCTAGCTTTTTAAATAACTAGTCACCCAATCTATTTTTCCTGCGTCGTTCTAGGGTAATTAAATATTCACAAAAAATAAACATACGGCTTGAAAAATGCAAATCATCTACTATAAAACACTTTCATTGTAAAGTGCTATCTGAAGAAACATCACACTTCAGTAATTATTTTATCACTTAGAATATTTTTCAATCCAAAAGGGGCACAATTCAAAAGAGAAAAATGCTCAAAACCTCTTTGAAGTTGTTTTTATTACTTAAGGCTTGAACTGATGACCCGAAGTGCAAAAAATGTATTTGATAATTACCCCACTTTATATGCAATACATGAGACATCTGATCATGCATGTTTAATTGATTAAAAATGTAAGAAATTTACAGCTCTTTACAAGAAGACCAGAGTTGGCTTTCAACTCTTTTTTTGATTCTACTTCTGCTGGCATCTAACTTGGTTGAATACTCCAGAACTCATGCTCTTATTTAGAACATGCTTTGGTGCTGAGTTGTTGCTTGCTTATGCAAATGTATATAAGTAGTTAGCCTCTCTGCCCTGGACCTGTAAATCTAGTGACATCACATGCTTTAGGAATACTTATTAATATGAGTTGAGCATTGACATGTTGCTCTAAGGTGAACAATATAGCCAAAATTATAATAAAAAATCTCTCTCACAAAAAAAATATTTTTATGGCCTCAAATAGTTAAGTTTTTCATATTAGTAAAATATTAAACCAATAATTTGTTATTGTTAAACTGGCTGATTTTATTACCCTTGATTGGTCTGGTCAAAGAAACAAAATGAAATAAAATTACTTTGTAGCCTGAGTGGGGTTTTGTGTGATAGTAGGGCATAAATTTGGAGTTTTAATAATTTATTGTCTTTGAAAAATGTGCTACTTAGAAACCAGAGCACCTGAACCATCATGTTTGCAAATTCCATTGCCACGACATTTTCAAACAAGCAAAAAGCATTTAAGATTAAATGCAAATTTAATAATTTGAACGGTTCAATTCGATGTGTATGTTGAGCCAATGTAACAGAACAATAATGTTTTGCCACAAGTGTCAGTAAAGAATAATCAAGGTTAAATTTGGATCAGAAATACCTGGCCAGACTAATTTTTCACCAGTCAAAACCTCAAATTTGGCAGACAACTTTCCAGTAGGACCAACTGTTATATACAGCCTTATGCTTACTCGATGTAGATATTTGTGACGTCCAACCTAATCCCAATGGGCAGGATCATGCAAAAAAAATGTGACCGCCTTGTGATATACTTGTCCTAGCTATATTAGCAATTCAGTTAGCATTAGGTCCTGTTCTACTCCTTTACATATTCATTAGTATCAAATTACAGTACTGTTTTAGAATGTCCCGCATGTAAGGGGCGCATGCTAGCAACTTTAGGCAATAGATCATTTTATGCTGCGGCTCCTAGATCAATTTGTGGAACAGCCTCCCTGTGCATGTCCTTGAAATTGAATCACTGCCAGAGGACACATCTTTTTAAATTAGCTTTTGCATAGTTTTAAATATATAATTATTTTATTTTCATTTTATTTATGTATTTTTATTAGCATTTTTTGTTTTATTGGTTTTATCTATCATAGATTTATTTTTATAAATTTTAGGTATAAGATCTGCTATAAACCCTAAGTTAATATTATTCAAAAGCGCGATATTACCATTCCTCACGTACTGTCACCTAGTGTGGCATTTTTGTAAAGCGAGTGACACTCGAAAGCTTGAAAGACTACAAGAAAGAGGACTTAGAGCGGTTTTCAAGGATAATAATTCTAGTTATGAACAACTATTAGAGAAGGCAGATCTGCCAACACTGCTAAATAGTCGCTTACAGGATCTGTGCATCCTTATGTATAAAGTAAAGCATAAACTGTGCCCTGCATATATAAGTAACATCTTTAAAGAACCAAATAGTAATTACAATCTGCGGCAAGCAGATTTCTCTATACCTAGGTATGAGACAGTCACCTATGGCAAGCACTCTATTAGATATCTAGGGCCTACTGGCTATGGACAAAACTACCCAAGAGTATCAGGGACGTCACAACCCTAACGTCGTTTAAAAGCAAGATACGCCAACTCAATATAAGTGAACTTTTAGATGATGGCTGCGCAGGCTGTAGCCTTTGTTCATTTTGACTTCTGTATATTTTTACTATAAATCTCTTAATTAGTTAACTATAGATATTTTACCTACTACTGTATATAGTTTTTAGTTTGTATATTCTCCCCTAATTGGTGTCCCCAAATTAGTAAGGGATTTGTTCCCTGGCTAGACGGCTTTTGACACTTTAATAAAGTTTCTATCTATCTATCTATCTATCTATCTATCTATCTATCTATCTATCTATCTATAAACCCTTCCATTTGAAAAATTTATTTGTCAAGTTATAAAGAATTTTGCAAATAGAAATTACACAGGTCTATTAAGGGAGAGCTGAGCTTTCAGAAAATTGATTTCCAAGGTGTCAATTTTCACAGCTAGGGTGTGCTTTCCGATTTATATTGCAGGCGCAAAAATTGCATATTTCTGGCTTTCCCTCAATAACTGAAGGAATAAAAAAAAATGGAATTGACTATTATACTTAGATTGTTCATTTACCTTTAACCCATTCACCCCTGCAATTTTTGCCGAAAAATGTGTTTTCAAGTGAATGGAGCGGTTTTGTGGTCACTCGAGTGCCATAAAGATAGATCTAAAACTTACCGGAAAGCCATTTCCGGGTTGTACTTTGTGGCCTTCTGATCCAGATGTAAATTATCATTTTGCGAAGTTCAGTCATGCGCAGCAAGAAACATTTTTTGGTTTAAAAGTGACACAGCAGTCTCCTGGACTTTTCCTTTTACAGGCCATGTTCAAATCAAATCGCGGAACCGTCAGTGGTTATTTCTTGGCAGGCAGATTTATGACATTTCTTCCGGTAAGTAGTGAGATGCTTCTTTGATAAAAGTAGCCAGTCAGTGACTGCATAATGTCTAAAGATAATGGTCTCTTAATTAGAAACAAGACAAAGATTGAGCCTCAAGAAGTGTATCATTTTTTAGCAGTAATTTCTTATCTCTGGCTATAATTGAAGTATGATGATTAAAAAGGCCGAGTTTAAGCAGATCTCAGTTCTTTGCTGGGAAGCTGCAATGAAAACAATGCCTGAAGCGATAATAAAGAAAGCTGACTTCTTATTTAATAGCCAGATGTTTACAACCACCAAGTTATAAACTTGTTTAAATAAAATTTTTGTAGTCATCAATATTAATTTTTTTCAGTAGTTTTCAATCCATGTACTGAATCATTATTAAGGATTTTAAGCAACTTTGTTGAAAAGGATAAGATTATTAATTATTTTTTATATTAGAGGCAGGTTATTTTCACAGGTTGGTGCTTCCCTTTTTGCCAGTAATATTGGGAGTGAGCATTTTATTGGTCTGGCAGGCTCAGGAGCTGCTGCAGGAATTGGTGTTGGAGCATTTGAATTCAATGTGAGTGTTGATGCACGTAAATAAAACTCTGTAAAATTTTATTATCATGTATCATAGGCTTACCATACTTTGTGTGTAAGCTGTGGCCTTGCAATTTCCTTATATATTAATTTAAGGATTTTTGTAATTTGTTAAGTGGAGTACATTTTTAGATTCCTTACACAGTAAGTTATCTTAATCCTAAAAGTAAAACAACATATTTTCTCTCAAAAACATACTGGTACCGTAAATTATTGAAGTGACATAGGCTGCTCATGAAAATCTTCCAGTTTTTAAACAGGAGTCCACACTCCGTCATTTCCGCCTCTCTACCACTGAGTTGAACAACTCCATAACATTTTTTTTCCAAGTAACTGAAACAAGTTAGGAACATACCAGAGTCCGCTACAAACTGATTTATTTACCAGCTACCATAACAGAAGACAACCAAGATGGCGGACTGACCTATTTTACACAGGAACACCTGGACACGTGCCCGGATGGCACTTCGTGTACACTAACCTAAGGCATACTCGTTACATCTCCTTTCCTTAGTTTAACAGCAACACAACAAACAAAATGTCTAACGAGAAATACTCTTGATCTATTAAGCAAAGGATCTTTGTAAAAAGACAACAACAACAACAAAAACAAAAAAAACAAAAAAAGATCTGTTCAAAGTAAAGGATCCTTCTAAAGCAAAGTCTTAGTGTCCACATTCGTAATCTTTTAACCAAGCTGGAGGCCGACGCTCACGCACTGGACGACTTGTTGTACATGGTTCAGGAACTTCCGCTGATACAGGCATTGTCGGCAGTGACACATCAGCTGAGCTCGATTCACCAGGTTCAGAAGGCTCTGTAAGGTCTTGGATTGTTACTGTGGGCTCTACTTCCTCAGGGGTTGCTCTGAGCCATTTGCGGATTGGGCGGTAATGCTTTCCATTCACATCCACCCAAAAGGAACGAGGACCCTCTTCTCCAATGACACGTCCAAGCGACCATTCATTTTCACCAGGTAAACGCATTCTTACAGCATCGCCTTCATGCAATGTAGGCAGTTCATGGGAGTGCCGGTCATAATAGAACTTCTGTTTCTGCTTCCTAGACTTGATCTTTTCTGGCACATCAGAAATC